AAAAAAAAAAAAAAAAACTCCAAACTCCAAGGGATAACTTCAGATGCTGCAGTATTAAAGCCGTGGTGCACTTATATCAACAAAAGGCAAAGCCAAAACTCAGTGCAGGGAACAAAAAGCCCTAGAGAATGATGAAGCAGATTTGAAAAGGAACCAAACAGGCCAGGTGCTGGCTCAGGCCTGTCATCCTAGATCCTCAGGAGACTGAAATCTGAGGATCACAGTTCAAAGCCAGCCAGGGCAGGAAAGTCCATGAGACTCTTATCTCCAATTAACCACCTGAAAATCAGCAGTGGTACTGTGGTTCAAGGTGATAGAGCACTAGCTTTGAGCGAAAAAGCTCAGGGACAGAGCCCGGCCCTGAGTTCAAGCCCTGTGATGGACAAGAAAAAAGAAAAGAAAAAGAACCAAACATAACTTTGTAATAGGAGACCAGTCATGGCTGAAGAAAGGATTCGTATGTGAAAGCCAAATACAAAACTAGAGAGAAAAGAAGCCATCCACCATATAGGGAAGAGAAAGTCTAGCACTCATCTCATGAAGAGGTCAAGAAAGAGCAGAAAACTAAGCCAGGGTCTGCATGTGGGAGTGAGCTCTTGAAGATGGCTCATAGTGCTCTTGGGTGCTGTGCTTAGCGTAAGTTCTAGCCCAGCCCACGCTTGACTCAAGAAGTGATGGCAATCCCTTGCCTTTACTCCTCCTGCCTGAGGATTATGGGCGAGCAGTTCCTGAAAACTGAGCAATCCTCCAGCTAGAGCTTTGAGACTGTTGAAGACTGTCCCAGACAGAGCCCCTTCCCTGCACTGTGTAACTCAAGAGAGAACCATTTGCACTGCAGTCTGAGAACGGCACCACTTGGAGTTGAGCGGTACACAGCTGCTGAACTAGGCCACCCAGCTAGTTCTGATGCCCTAGAGCTTTCCGGGGCTGACCAGTGGTTTCTTCATTTATGTGCTCTTTCTTCCCTCCTTCCCTCCCTGGAGAGGGATGGCCCCCATCCTCCGCTGGAAGTTTTTATGGGACAGTGAAAGGAAGTTAATAGCTCTATAAAGTAGAGCCAGTCACCTGGGAAGTTGTCCAGGCATGTTGTGTTCCTAGCAGCCCAGGGAGGCCTTGGTAGTAAAGGCCGCAGTGCTCAGAGCAAGAGACTGGAGTTAAGTTGCTCAAACACTGTGAGTGTCCCTGTTGTGCGTTCCCTGGGGATAATGGCTGGACCTTTTGTTGTCCCTAGGACTGTGTAGTCCCTGGATCCAGCCCTTCTCCCTTGAGTTGAGCCTTGAGGACAGTTGTTAGCCCTGAGCTGCCCTGGATCTTTGCTTTGACTGAGAAATAGCCCTATCTAGCCAGAGTGCGGTGGCGGAGGAAAGGGGATCTGGGCAGTCGGAGTGCAGTGGTGGAGGAAAGGGTCTGGGCTGGGGCTTGGAGCCACAGTCAGTCCCGCAGACGTGTCCCAGTGCCACCAGTACACAGCCCTGTACACAGCCCACGGCCTGCAGCTGGGGAAGAGGGAAGGGATAGCAGAGAAGAGCCAGGAGAGGGGCTGCCCAGCAATCTCCAGCAGCTCTGGCCCTGCCCAGATTTTTGTCTTCCAATTGTGGCAAACTCTACATAACCTACTAACCTATCATTTACCTTGTTGAGTATATTTTTTGTGAGTGGTTCTGTGGCATTAAGAACATAAACCCTGCTGTGCAGCCTTAGCACCATTTACCTCCAGAATGAAGCTCTGTCCCACAAAACAAGTGCTCCTCACCCTCCTCCTGCTTCCCGTGTCTATGCGCCGGACTGTTCCGATGCCCTGGGCAATGGAATCAACCCGTACATGACCTTTGGGGACTGGTGGGTTTTTGTTTTTTTTCTTTTTTGTTGTGTTGCTGTTTCTCACTGTGTATTCTAGGCAGGCCTTGAACTCCCCGGCTTCAGCATCCCCAGTGCTGGGATTACAGGTATACACTGCCATACCTGGTTTGAACTAGTATTTTTCACTTAGCTTAGTTCCTTCAGGGCTCATCCATGTGGTTGCATGTATCAATACTTCCTTCTTAAGACTGAATAGTATTTTCTGTCAGGCTTTAATGACTTGTCAGTACAGTACCATAACCCCCCCGAGGACTCAGCCTCGGTTCCCAGTACCCTCAGCTCCCATCTGGCTCCTAGCAGGTGTCCAGTGAGCATTTGCTACGGGCATGAAGTTCAGACTGGCTGGTGGTCTCCAGCAGACTGGATGGAGCTAGTTCCAGCAAGGCCCTGCTCCATGAGGTGGGTTTCAGTCAGTGTCACGTCCTCACACACAGGCTTTTCCTGCCCTTGTCCTCAGTCAAGGTCGAGGTGCTGGCAGCCAGGCCGGGGAGGAGTCATAAACCAGCACCCCTGATGTGCGGTTGTCCTTGGGCAGGGCGCCGCCTTCTCCAGTGCTGACTTGGGGTGAAGGATCACAAGTGAAATTCCCCGCAGAGTCCCACACTCCTGCCGCGCCTGTAGGCGGCTGCCAGGCCGTGGAGTCTGGTGGCAAGTCCTGCAGTGACTTGGCAGTCACCCTGGCTTGTCACTCCAGCCCCACAGTGCAGTGATTTACAGCCTTCTGAGACTTCCAGCAACCACAGCAGTACGCAGGTCTTTGGGGCTCACTGAGCCCACCTCTTTACCATCCAGGGCAGGGAGGGCCGGGCCTGCTCCACGGCCCTGACAGATGGAAAGACAAGGGCTCTGTCCTCTACTCAGTACCTTCTTTTTCCTGCCCTGCCTAGGAAAGCAGGAGAGCTGGAAGAGAGGATCCCAGCCTCCGTCTCCGCCTTCATAAGGTGAAGGTTGTTGGTGCTAGTCTTAGTTTGGGCGCCCAGAGTCTGTGAGGTGAAGGTGGAGCTGCCTTGGGGTAGGGCTGGAGGACTGGGCAGGATGCGGCCTCTCCTTCCTAGAGACTGCTGGTCAGTGCTGACCATCCGGGCTCATCCAGAGCAGCCCAGGCCTAGGGCTGCTCTCTCCTCTGCCCTGCAGGTGGCCTCTCACCTCCTTCGTCCCTACACTCAGAGGGATTGGGGGCAGCCATAGGGCTGCCTTCCATACCCTCCTGGCTCCCAACCTGGGGAGCAGAGGGCCAAGGAGGGGCCTTCCTGACCAGCAGGAAGGTTCTAGTGTGCATGAGTCACTGCATCCCAGGGATCCCTTCTTTCTCATACTACCCTTCCCGAGTCTGCCAAATTAGGTGTCTGCTGGCCTGGCTTCGGGCAGCTTCCATACTGAGTAGAGTGCATCTGAACTGCCTGTGGATGCCTTCCATTCTAAGTCCCGTCCCTGAGGTCAAACTTGAGCTAATCCTGAAAAATCTCTTCCCCCTTCCCTTCCTTCCTCCTAGTCAGGGTGTCTCCAGAAGCAACTCCTCCCTGCCAGCTCCCGGGTCCCCGGAGCCAAACCCTAAATATCTTCACTAAATCTTTCCCAACTGGCCAGCTCCAGGCCGTGGTCTGGCTCTGCCCTTCCTTTTGAAGCCCGCTCAGGAAGACCTCTGCCGCTCCAGGCCCAGGAGGAAGCGAATTCCTCGTAAGCCAGAGCCAGAGATGAGCTGTGTACCTCACGTCAGGCAGCCAGGCGTGGGTTGTGATGGCTATCATGTTTCTGTGACATATCCCCTCCCCAAGCGTCCATCCAGGAGAGTTCTGGTAAATGTGCTACTCGATGTTATTGGAGAGCCACTAATGCTTTAGTGCCAGCTGAGGTTTACCTGCCCTGTGGAGATCAGGGCCTCCCTAGCCTCCCTATAGCAGGCTTTCTAAAGTACACCCTAGCTCTGCCCTCCCGGCCTCAGATGCCTGGAATAGCATGGAAGCTGCAGGCGACCCAGCAGTACTTGCACAAAGCCTCGGCCATCAGGACATGGATCACACAGGCAGCAGCGTCTGGAGGAGGGGGGATCAAGCACTGAGCAAGTATGGTTATCTTTTAAAGTTGATTGCATTAAGTGCTAACCTTCAAGTATCAAGTATAGTCTTAGTCATCTTAAAAAGAAGTTGTGCCCAGCGTGATAATGAAGGCCTATAATCCCAGCACCCCCGAGACAGGCAGCAAGATAGTGAGTTTCAGGACAGTGTGCACTACATAGACCCTGGTTTGTTTGGTTTTGGGGGGGAGATGGTATAAGGTCTTGAATTCCTGTTTGGCTTTTTCACTCAAAGCTAGCACTCTACCACTGGAGCTGCTGCTCCACTTCTGGCTTTTTGCTAGTTGAGGATAAGAGTCTCACAGGCTTTCCTTCCTGGGCTGGCTTTGAACAGCAATCCTCAGATCTCAGCCTCCTGAGTAGCTAGGATTATAGGTGTGAGCCACCAATGCCCAGTTGGGACCCTGTCTTGAAAGAGGAAAAAAAAAATGAGTTGGTCTGAGCACTCTGCTGGATTATCTGATTTAATCTCTTCTACCCCTAAGACCTAGCGCAGTGTTGTCATTGGAAACGGAGCTGTGTGTGGTTGGGTAGAACTGGAACCAAGCTTGAGCTTGTCCTGCGCCAGTGTGTGGCCATGCTGCGTACATCACGTGTTGCAGGACTGGTTGCCGCAGCAGTCAGGCTCCACGCCGAGATTGTATTCCTTGCCTCTGTTCGTTTCATTTGTCCTGCCTTCTTCCTCATGACCAGCCACTGGGACGTGCGCCACAGGGGAACTGAGGCTGTGGCTGGCTGGGATTGTAAGGCAAAAAGCACAGTGCCCCTCCTCCAAGGTGGGGGGCAGGCTGCCCACCCTTCACTTTCCTGAGGCTGTGGTGATTGGAGAGCCCCTCACGATTGCTTAGCAAACAAGGAAACAGCTAAGGCCAGAGAAGTGAGGAATTTGCTGCAGGTCACACTGTTCAGAACCAGAATTCTAGCCTCGGGTCTAGACCGGAGCTTTTCCCTGCTATGTAAGCACCAGCCAGCCTTCGCAGAATGTGACTGTGCTCTCTCCCTCTCTCCTTCTTTCCCTCTCTCCTTCTCTCCTCTCCTTCTCTCCCTCTCCCCCGCTCTCTCTCAGGGGTCCTTGGTGAATCCTATCATGGTTATTTAAGGAACCTTGCCTAGAAGTCCCCACACAAGCGCAGTTCCCCATCGCCGGGAAGGCGTGGACTCCAAGATGATTATAAAGGAATACCGGATTCCTCTGCCAATGACTGTGGAGGAGTACCGCATCGCCCAGCTCTACATGATACAGGTGAGTCCAGGGCGCCGCGGCAGGCCGGGTACACAGGCACCTCTGGTTCCTGGTGAGGTCTATCTTCCTGGCTTCATATGTCCAACTCTTCCCTGTGCCCTCGTGCGGTGTGAGGGATGGGGGAATGCCGCTGTCTTTTCTTATATGTGTACACGCTAACCTCATCATGCCACCCGTGACCCGTCTGAGCTTGATGACCTCTGAGCTCCCATCTCTACCAACCATCAGTGTGGGAAGCTGGAGCAGACCCAGCATCGGCCCCTTCTGCCACAGTTAATGGACAGGGAAGTGTGATGCGGAGGAGTTATGACTTCACAGGAGCACACGACCTGGGCTTACACAGTCACGGCAGTGTGGAGCATGGCTCATTTACTGTCACACCTGAGTCTGAGGGTGCTGGGCTCTCTGAGGAGCCAGAGACCATCACCCTCTCCTGAGGACATTGCTAGGCTCCCTCAGTGCTGGCCAGCCTAGAGCACGGGCTTCACTGCTGAGCCCAGGCCCTCACTCTGCACTTTCTGCCCAGCCTGGTGGCTTTCCTTCATGCTGAGGGCCACACTGATTTTGAACATGACTCTTCTGGGCATCTGGGTCAGCTTCTGGCTGCACTGCCCTCGGTTATGGCCTCACACTGGACCCTTGGCTCACAATGGGGGACAGGGAGCCACAGCTGGCAGCTGGATTCTTCTTGTAGGTTCATAGCCCAGCCCAGATCAGGGAGGTGTTGTGAGCCTCCAGCAGATGGTGGAGGCCCAGCTGCCGTCTGGGAGGGGCTTGAAGGCGCTGCCAGGGTTTAGCCAGGCTCCCGTCACGGGACACTCAGCTGGGAAGAGAACAGGAGGCGCCCTCAGCCTCTCTGAGGGGCTGTTTGCTTTGAGCTGCTTCAGAAGCGCCACTCAATTTCCTCTTGAACCACTTACCCCCTAATTATTTCTAGAGAGTAGGGAGAGGAAGAGGTTTAAATCAGGCCCTAGCTCTGAGCACTCTGGAAATAGCTCAGCCTGTTCAAGAACCAGACTCATCTGAAAAGCTGTCATTTGTCCCGTGGCTTCTCAATTCCCATCCCAGCAATGAGCCCCTGATCAGAGCAGGCAGAGCCGTACCTGGCCATGCTGACAGCCTCAGGCCCAGCACACTGATTAGGAATCTGACTGTGGACTGTTGGAGTCCAGGAGGACAGACGTCCAGCCTCTGGGAAGGGTCGTCCCAGGCTTTTCTTAAGCTTAGACTCCGTCCTTTCTGGGCTCCTCCACACACATTGCAGTTCCACAACCTAAGTCCTTCTCCTGATGAATGTAGCTGCTGAGTGATCACGTGACCATCACAGCTCATGCAATGCTCACACCTTCATCTGCTCTGCAGTTTGCTGGACCGGCACGTGCAGTGTCATTTGGTGACTACTGACCTGTGAACTAAGATTTTGGTAGATGTAAATGTCTCCCACCTTTCAGATCATGAGCGTCAACACTGCCACTGGGTCCAGTGGATGGGCGTCCCTTTCGCATGAACTGAGCCAGAGTGACCTCTTAGTGTTGGCTAGAGTCCTCTGCTGCTCTGAGCTTCCAGGCCTTTGTACTTCTGGTGAGCAAGCCTATGTGCCACACCAGGTTTCACCAGGAACCGTGTTTCATGCCAAGTGCTAGCATGCCCAGAGGGAGTGAAGGCTGGGAGAGTGTTTGGAACACACCAGCCCCTGTGAGGTGCTTGGCAACACTTTGCCAAGAGGGGCTCGAGGTGCTTACTCAGGACCCTGGACAGCTCAGAGGGCTGCTCCCTGCAGGGTTTCTCAGTGTTTGCCCCCTTTCCTCCTCAGCAGCCCCAGGACAGTGGCCTGTCTACCCACCCAGGTCACCATCAGTTGATAGGAGGCACCGCTTCCTGCGCCATGGCCTGACTGAGCTATGGCTGTGCTAGGGCAGGCTCCTCCCCCCCCCCCATTTTATGATATCCTTGGGGACCCTGGGGTCAGCCTGCTCCCGAGGATTGTCCCAGAGATGCAGTGGCAGTGGTTGAGTCTTTACCAAGTATATTCTGGGCAGAGGCTCCAGAGTGCCACGTGGGTCGCACAGACCAGGGCCATTGTAGCTCTGCTGTTACCAGCTGTGGTGCCCACGCCACTGAGCCACCACTGGATTCCCTGTGAGTGGCTGGGGTGGTGACAGAAGCATAGTGCCCTGAGCCTGAAGGACATTGGCTGCGTTAGTCTCCGTGATACCCGCACAGTGGGTGTTGGGTGCTGTTCCTTCCAGCCCCTTATAGACAAGGAGGCTCAGGTGTCAGGGATCTTTTTTTTTTTTTTTTTTATCTTTTTTTATCGGTTGTGGGGCTTGAACTCTGGGCCTGGGCGCTGTCCCTCCGCTCTTCAGCTCAAGACTAGTGCTTTACCACTTGAGCCACAGTGCCACTTCCCCGTTTTCTGGTGGTTCATTAGAGATAAAGAGTCTCACAAACTTTCCTGCCTGGGCTGGCTTTGAACCGCGATCCTCAGATCTCAGCCTCCTGAGTAGCCAGGATTACAGGCGTGAGCCACCAGCACCCGGAGACATCAGGGATCTTATCAGAGATGCACAGCTGACCCACTGAGGCCACTCCTTGCCTGGAGACATGGCTGGCCCTTTCCACACATGGAGCACGCTTGAGAGTCTCTTACCTTCTCTGAAGTTACAGCTTTAAGGACTGGAGCAGGAAACCCTCTGCCCTCGTTTTCCTTACACAAGCCTACTCCTCCCCCACACTCACACCCATCCCCACATGCACACACAGCTTGAGTCCCCCTTGTGGACAGCCAGCTGGAGTGCTGTGATTAACTGAGAGTCAGGAAATGTCCTGCAGCTGCAGGTGTGGCTGTGCAGCTTGATGCCGAAGCAGATGAGGCTCCCGTTAGGTGACAAGCCGCAGCGAAAGCTTAGTCCTGGGCCATGGTGGATGCTCGCTTGGCTGGTTGACTAATGCCCTACTAACAATCCACATCCATATGTGGCAGGGAACATGGTTTGCTTGGAAGTAAGGTCTTTGTGTATCTACTTCATTTTCTTTAGTCTCATAGCTCAGCCTGGCCTGGGCATGTTATGTAGCCCAGGCTGGCCTCAGATTCACACATTCACAGCATCTGCCCCCAGAGTGCTGCCATTACCGGTGTACACCAGGCTGGGCAGAGTTATTAATTAAGGACTTTGAGAGATCATCTTGAGCTTAGGATGGGCCCTATATTAAATGACAGCTGTTCCCATAAGAAGGGCAAAAAGGAACCCAGGGAAGACCGGAGGAAGAGATAGGAGGGAGATTGTCATCACCCAGAGAAGCCAAGGATTCCTGGGAGCTAAAGAGGCAAGGAAGGGGCCTGGCTAGAGCCCTTGGTGAGAGGGGCTTAGTGATAGGCTGACCTTTCCAGGAGGCACCTGGAGACAGCGAGTCCTAGCCTGCCTGAGTGAGTGCCAACTTTTGTGTTTCTGCCCCACCCCACCCCACCCCATGATGCCAGAGTGGAAGGGCATTCCCTTGCCTTGCCCTTTTTCCAGTTCTCCATATCCTCCACTCTCAGAGACTTGTAGGTCCTCACCCCACCCCAAAGCAACCGCGGTTTGTTTTCTTACAGTTCAGAGGCAGGCTGTTAGGGTAGAGAGCTCTTTCCTTGTCTCTCCCACCTGCTGGTGGACCCAGTCTGTGGCAGCTTTCTTGCCTGAATCTACAAGGACGCTCCTTCCAAACAAGGTCTCATGCTCTAGGTGGATATCGATCAAGGGGGTTGTATAGATTAGCAGCTATCCTCATTTTAACTGAAGATCCTTTTCGGGGCTGAGAAGGAGTTGGCCACAAAATTGAGTTTAGTATCCATTTCTTTCTTTTTCTTTTGTCTGTTGTGGGACTTGAACTCAGAGCCTGGGCACTGTCCTTGAGATCTTTTTGCTCAAGACTACTGCTCTGCCTATGACTTTGAGCCACAGCTCCACTTCTGATTTTCTGGTGGTCAATTGGAGATAAGAGTTTCACAGAGCCAGGCGCTGGTGTCTCACGCCTGTAATCCTAGCTACTCAGGAGGCTGAGATCTGAGGATCGCAGTTCAAAGCCAATCCCGGGCAGGAGAGACCGTGAGACTCCTATCTCCAATAAACCACCAGAAAACCAGAAGTGGCGCTGTAGCTCAAGTGGTAGAGCGCTCACCTTGAGCTGAAGAGCTGAGGGACAGCGCCCAGGCCCAGAGTTCAAGCCCCATGACCGACAAAAAAAAAAAAAAAAAAAGAGTTTCACAGATTTTTCTGCCCAGGCTGGGTTGGAAGAGTGATCCTTAGATCTCTGCTTCCTGAATAGCTAGGATTACAGGCATGAGCTACCAGAGCCCAAGGATAGAATCCATTTATTATAGCAACAGATGCTTACTAAACATCTGCTGTGGGCTGGTGAATTTTCCTTGAGACAGCTGTGTAGTCTGAGCAGGTCCTGGAGTCAAACAGACTCGGAGCCTTGCTCTGCTGTATAAAGTCGTGCAACTAGGGACAAGTCACCACTGTCTATCCTAGACTCTATCATCTGCAGATTGAGGTCTGTGGTCCTGACATTGCTCTGGGGGTAACACAGGAAGTAAAGAAGACCATGCAGGCTGGGATTGTGGCTTAGTTGTAGAGTGCTTGCCTAGCATGCCCTGGGTTCGATTCTTCAGTACCACATAAACAGAAAAAGCCAGAAGTGGCACTGTGGCTCAAATGGTAGAGTGCTAGCCTGAGCAAAAGAAGCTCAGGGACAGTGCCCAGGCCCTGAGTTCAAGACCCAGAACTGGCAAAAAAAAAAAAAAAAAGACCATGCATAGCTATGGCAGGAAGCCAGTGTGAGAAGCAGGAATGTAGATAGATCCCTGACTCAGGATCTGCTTGTGCTGTGAATCTGGTCCACAGTCCAGGAGCTTGGGGGCATGGGGTACACACAGATGTCTAACCACATCTCTGGCCTCCACCAAGGCCTTTTTTTCCCCTCATTTTATCCAAAGAGGTCCAGTCATTCTGGGTCCTGGTACTGGAGCACATCCTTATGCCCTGCGGAGGTTGTATACTAAGAGCCGCTGTGTGCGCACTCACATCTGTGCACAGAGGTATGCACTCTCAGACACAGCTGCTGTTCAGCAGCTGACCGAAGATGGCCTTGGCTATGCCGTCATGTTGCCATGGAAACAGATGCTGGGTTTAAAGTCACCAGCACCTCAAACATAAGGTCTTTGAATAAGCAGAAAGCTGACCTCTGGACAGTGGGCAGGACAGTGGGTCCAGAGACACTTAAGTGATCCAGATGATCCACATTTGACCCCCCACCTTTTTTTGTGGTACTGGGGCTTCAACCCAGAGTCTGGGTGTTGTCCCTTAGCTTTTTTGCTCAACATTAGTGCTCTACCACTTAAGCCACAGCTGCACTTCCGGATTATTTGGGGATACTTAGATAAGAGTGAGATACGAGTCTCACAGCTTTTCTTGCCCTGGCTGGCTTCGAACCACTGTCTTTAGATCTCAGCCTCCTGAGTAGCTAGAATTACAGGGGTGACTTCCTTTTAGCTTCTTTTCAAGGTCTTTTAAAACACAGGAGTTAATTTCAATGAAGTCAAGTTTATCTGATTTTGTTTTGTTGCTTGTAATTTTGGTTTCATGGGTCTAAAACCATGGTCTCATCCAAAGTCATAAAGATGTATATGTTGTGTTTTCTTCTGAGGGTTTTACATTTAGTTCATCATGACCTTAGGGGACTTTGTGGCCCTCTGTGCTGCTGGGGGTCCTACCAAAATCCCTGCTGCTTTCCCTACTGTGCTGGGCTTCACTTGCTTCCTGTCCAGGGCATTGTGCTTATATATTGTATTGAGTCTTTGCCTCTGGAGTCTTCTCCAAGACAGCTTGGGGATGGAGGGGGGGAGATGGGAAAGGGAAACAAAGGGGGAGGCAACAATGCTTGATAAGAAATATACTCATTACCTTGCCCGCGTAATTGTAACCCCTCTGTACGGTATTTTCACAATTAAAAAAAAAAGAGACAGCTTCCATACACTCACTTTGAAGAACCCTGAGTTAGCACTTGTGCACTCCCTCTCTCTCTCTCTCTCTCTCTCTCTCTCTCTCTCTCTCTCTCTTTCTCTCTTTCTCTCTCTCTCGCACACACACACACACACACACACACACACTCAGAGGGACTGCTTCAGTGACCCAGCCCAGCATATGGTCACAGCCCTCATTCTCCCAAGTGATACTCTGAGCCTAGGACACCCTGGCTCTCTGATAGATGTCTCCTCCGTCCAGGGAACAGGAAACCTGCTTCTTGCTGCGAGCTGGCTGCCTCCATCAGCTGTAAAGGAGATATCAGGGTTATGGTCAGGAGAAGGTACAGCTCATCTGTGAGGCTGAGTCACACTTGGCAGCCAGTTTGTCCAGTAGGGCTATGGAGGGAGACCCTTGGAGGGGTTGGGGAAGAGCAGCAGAGCATGTGGTCGGTACCCAGCCAACAGCATCAGTGACTGATCTAGGACCAGGAAATTGAGCAGGGCAGAGAAACAGGCAACAGTTTGGGGGTTCAATGCACAAGTTTTCACCTCTCGTTAAATTTATTTGCAAGTATGTGCTCTTTCAGCTGCTATTGTTACTACAACTGACTTCTTCATTTCCTGTTTGTGTTGATTTTGTATCCTGCAACTTCTCTAAGCTTGGGGACTATTACTTGGGGACTATTCCTTTGAGTTTTTAATATAAATTTAGATTATGTCATCAGTAAACTAAGATTATTTCACTTTTTCCTTTCTCATTTGATGCCTCATATTGCTTCTTTCATTTGCCTAATTACTGTAGCTAGCCTCTCCAATCCTGAACTGACAGGAGCAAGCAAGTTGGCATCCTCGTCTTGTTCCTCATCTTGTGAGCAGTCAGGAGTCAGTGTGTCCTGGGGCTTAGAGAATGCCCTTGGAGAGCCTTGGAGCCCGTGGAGTCGAGGTCTAGAACTGAGGGGAGGCTTCTGCAGTGGCACAGGAGGAGGCAGCTTCATGGCCAGAGCCACTGCCCATTCCACACCTGGGCTTGGTCCCCCCCACCCCCCAGCCCATTCTACAGAGTGCCCTGACCACACATGATATTGCTTTGTCCCCACAGAAGAAGAGCCGAAATGAGACCCATGGCGAAGGCAGCGGTGTGGAGATCCTGGAAAACCGACCCTATACAGATGGTCCTGGCGGCTCTGGGCAGTACACACACAAGGTGTACCACGTGGGCATGCACATCCCCAGTTGGTTCCGTTCCATCTTGCCCAAGGCAGCCCTGCGAGTGGTGGAGGAATCCTGGAACGCCTACCCTTACACCAGAACCAGGTGCCGCTGCTTCTGCCCTCTCTTCCACATGCCACTTGGGGGCCGGGGGAGGAACTTCATGGCCTAGGCCCATGGGCTGGAAACTTCAGGTAGGCTTAATCAGTGCACCCCTAGGGCTCTGTCCCAGATGGGTGCCTGAAAGTTTCCCCAGGGCAACCATACACAGAAAAACCTATGTACTCTGGATGCTTCCCAGACTGCCCAGGGGTGGAGGCCACAAGGGCAGGAGTTGAGTAGGGGATACTGGACACTCCATTGCCATCTGGAAAATCCAGAGAATGCCAGCTCACTCCTAAGTTCTCCCAAGAAGCCCGATAGCCAGCCTGCTGAAAGAAATGTGAACTGAGAATAGACCACATCGATGGCTCTGAGATCTTCAGCTCCTGTGACAGTGTTTACTGTGTCACATGCTGGGCAGGGCTTTTCCTGGGACCCCTCCAAAGGGGGTCTTCACTTTGTGCCAAGTGCATAGCTGAGCACTGCTCCTCCCACCAGCCACTCTCTTGTGTAGAATGTTCCCCAGCAGCCTCCCAGGGTACCTGCTTTCCTCAGACACAGGAAGTGCTGAACCTCAGGAGCTCTACTCTAACCCAGAGAGGAGCTGTTACCCCAGAAAGGTGGCTGGGCCCAGACCCCTTCACCCTGCAGAATGCCAGCTGCCATACTGTGCTTGCCTAATACCATACCATGAGCACCTGGACACCAGATACAAGCCTTCTAGAAGCAGCTCTCCCTGCTGCCCCTCCTCCTTTTCTCCCCCTCTGCTTCCTCCCCCCCCCCCCCCCCACCGCCTTCTCTTCTTCTTCTTCCTTCTTCCTTCTTTGTTCGCCTGTCCTAGGGCTTGAACTCTGGGCCTGGGAGCTTTGCCTGAGCTCATTTTGCTCAAGACTGGCACTCTTTCACTTGAGCCACTTCTGGCTTTTTCTGTGATTCACTGAAGATAAGAATCTCATAGACTTGCCTAACTGGGCTGGCTTCAAACCATGATCCTCAGATCTTAACTTCCAGAGTAGCTAGGATTACAGGTGTGAGCCACTGGTACCTGGTCAACCCCCTCTTCTTTGTTTGGGTTTTTTTTTTAAACTGTATTTTTTTTCTTTTCTTTTTTGGTACTGGGGATCGAACCTAGGACGTTGCACTTGCTAGGCAAGCGTTTTGCCACTGAGCTACATCCCAGCCCCCCAACCCCTCTTCTTAAACCCATCCCTCTCCCAGGGCTGTTCTTGGGACAAGGTGAAGGTCTGGGACATGGATGGATCTGTTGCATCTCAGACAACCACACCCTTCTTCCTTTCCCACCTCATTCCTACTCCAAAAGGCAGCCCCAGCCCCTCCTTGCACTGTCCCAGTGGACACTGTGCTTCCCCTCAGGTTCACCTGCCCCTTCGTGGAGAAGTTCTCCATCGACATTGAGACTTATTATAAGACTGATGCTGGGGAAAATCCTGATGTATTCAGCCTGTCCCCTGTGGAGAAGAACCAGCTGATAACAGGTGAGCAGGAGGACCAGCCCTGCAGAGCCCCTCAGCCCTACCCTCCTAGGAGCAGCTGGAGTCCCAGTAAGTGTCAGAGCCTGAGAGTGAGGCAGGAGAGACCTCTGGGATCCTGACGTGAACTCCATGTCTAAAGGCCTCTCACACTCAGAGCCCCTCCCTGTATACCACCAGTGCACATGTGCACTCAGGGCTGTGTAGTCTTGGAGAGCCGTCTCAGGCTGACAGCCACGTGGGCCAGGGGATGTGGCACATAACAGGGCCCATGTCCCCTTGCAGCATGTGGCCTCTCTCCTTTAGCCGCTGTCACTTTGCACAAAGCAGGACCCTTCTGTTGAATCTTTTTTAAAAGAGACCAGAGATCAGGATTTTCATGCGAAATCTTCCAGTTCTGAAACATTGGCCACTAATGAAAAATTGCTAAATAGACTTAAGCTGATCAAACAAAACACATCTGTGGGCCAACTGCAGTTCTGCAGTCCCCTCTTCCCAGATGGGTTTTGTAATTAGTCAGCCAGACTGGGTCCCTTCCAGCCAGCTTAAAAGCCCTATGTGTAACAGGGCTGACCTGGCTCAGGGTGGTTGGGTGCCTGGCCAGCATATCTAGCTGTACGCCCATCACTCCTGGGAGAACTGTCCTCCCTCCCCCATACACACATCCTGGCGTTTCCCAAGACCCCATCAGTGCTACTGGGACACTTGGCCTCACACACCCACTCTTGCTAGCCTTCTTACCCGTCTCTGCCCCATCATTCTCCAGGAAAGCTCGCCCTCCGATGCACCCTAGCTCACTGCCTCACCTCCCTGCTCTGCATGATGGCAGGGTGCACACGGACTCTGGGTTTCCCTGACCTGACTTCCAGAAAGATGGCTGGGAAGCCTCACTGTCCTTCTACATGGCAGGACCGGAGCCATACAAGGCCTTCAGGGTAGAAGGAGTCCTAGGGGGTACAGGGTGAAGGTCAGGCAGATATGCCCACTTGCAGGGTTGTCCCCACAGACTTCATCGACATCGTCAAGGACCCTGTTCCCCCCAACGAGTATAAGACTGAGGAAGATCCCAAGCTGTTCCAGTCAGTCAAGACCCATCGGGGCCCGCTGTCGGACAATTGGATCGAGGAGTACAAGAGGCGCCTCCTCCCCATCATGTGTGCCTACAAGCTCTGCAAGGTGGAGTTCCGCTACTGGGGCATGCAGTCCAAGATCGAGAGGTTCATCCACGATACAGGTGAGCTCACCCCAGGCCGCCTGCACTGGATGTCTGCCTGAGATTCTCAACCCCCATTTCTTTCCTGAAAGGTGACCCCAAAACCCGTGTCCCCATCCTGGGACCATCTGTGCTTGCAGTCCGATGCCTAGAGGTCCCCAACCTGGCTGTGTCTGTTAGCATGTAGTCTAGACCCCACTCAGGCCAGAAGCCCAGCAAGGACAGCAGGGACTAAGGCCTCTGACTCGGGCCTTCCTGTTCTCTACCTGAGGAGACCCAGACCCCAGGTTCAGCCCACAGCTGTGCCTCCACCACAGACTTGAGAGCCAGGCAACAGAGCAACTCAGTCTTTTTTTTTTTTGGGTCCGGTCGTGGGGCTTGAACTCTGGGCCTGGGCGCTGTCCTTCAGCTCTTCAGCTCAAGGCTAGCGCTCTACCATTTGAGCCACAGCGCCACTTCCGGCTTTTTTCTTTTTGCTTATGTGGTGCTGAGGAATTAAACCCAGGGCCTCATGCATGCAAGGCAAGCACTCTACCACTGAGCCACCTTCCCAGCCCCAGCAACTCAGTCTTTGTAATGCCTTTTACACACACACACACACACACAGGCCTGCGCAGAGCAGGTGCCCATAATTGCCTGAGAGCTTCCAGCCCAGTGAGTGCTCGCTGAGGCTCCACCCTCTTTACAGCCTCTTGGCTGCTGCCTATCCCCTTGTGGCAAGACATCAGTTCCCAGGCTAGTCCCACGCCAGGCTCACGGCCTGAGAGACACCCTGGGCAGATACCTCCTGATGCCTTGACCAAGGACAGCTTACTTTAGACATGGACAGAGCCACACCATTGAGAACACACTTCAGCCTTGTCACACACACCCGGGATGACCCTGTTCACACAGGAGGGAACAGAGACCTGGCTTTGGGCTGCATCCCGAACAAATGTTCTGTACCCTGGTGGTAGAGGTGTCTCATTAGAAGGGCTCCTGCAGTGCCGGTGCTGGGACCCAAGAGTGGCTCTGTGCCCGCAGCAGATGCAGTGTGGCCAGGGCCTTGACGGTGTGTGGTTGCGTGGCCAGCTCTACGCCAGGGCAGACTCTCAGGCATGTGCACTGTGTTAATGTCTGTTGCAGGAGCCAGGAAGGGTGATCTGAGGAGAAAGATGTATCCTGTCCCACTGGCTGCCTAACCACATGGGAATCGAGATGACCTAAGCCAGGCTCCCCATTACCCAGAGCTCACAGGCAGGGACCCATTTCCCCAACTCTCAGGCCTAGGCCAGGAGGACATCATCCTAGAAACAGCCCAGGTGTCAGGCCTGCCTGCCAACCTAGGCCTCACACCTCCTGTTGTGGGCCCTACTTCCTAAGGTGGGAGTGATTTTCACCTCACTGAGGACATGGGATAGGCTGGGGGAGGGATTCATCAGCCCTGCTCAGTCTGCCCCAGCCCTGCCCCCCCCCCTCACGCCTCAAGGAGAGAACAGAGGCTGGTCAGTGCCGTGTCTCACCCACCTCATGGTCCAGCCAGGATGTAGACAGCGCCAGCTGATGGAGGGGAGCGGGAGGAAGGAGGAGGATGTATGCCCTGAGAGCCAGCCACCATTCCTTCTGGGTTTGGCCACTAGTGAGACTCACACACATTCCAGAATGTTCACAAAACAGAAAAACAGTGCAAACGAGCCAAAGGCCCGCTGGCAGGAAAAGGAGTACATGAAATGTGGTGTCGCAAATACATAAACACTGCACTGCAGCCAGCCCAGTGCCCTTGAGCTCCACATGAGTGCAGACCCAGATAAAACTCGCCAGAGAAGCAAGCAGCAGAAAACACACATGGCAGAACACGCGTGCACATTTCAGAACAGCCAAAGCAGTCCCACACATTGTGCAGGAAAACACAATACACCTCGTGATAAAGCCAAGCAACACAGGTAACACGTTCAGGACGGGCTCTCCCAGGAGTGTGTGCGGGAGCCTGACCGGGCACTTCGCCGGTGGATAGACACGGTTGATGGCCTGTTTTGTTTTCTGTGAATATTTGGGGGGGGGCGGTGAGGAGTCACTTTTGGTTTGGTTGTAGTACTGGGGATTGAGCTCGGAGCTTTCTCATGTTTTGCTCAGCAACCTGGCATGATGGCGCACACCCTCTGGTTCATTGTGGAAGAGAGCATTTAGGTCAGCCTTGAAACACGTGTTCATTCCCAGTTGTGCACCAAAGCTTCAAGGTGTCACATCACCCCAGAAGTGATCTGTTCTTAGCCATCTCCACTCCCATCCTTGCTAAAGCCTCCCCACTGTGCTGTCTGTCTCTGTAACTCCCCAGCTACTCCTTATGCCTTAAAAGGTATGTTATTAAGTCAGGCATAGTGGGACATGCCTGTAATCCCAGCACTCAGGAGGCAGGATGATTTAAATTTAAATCAGCCTAAGCTACGTAGACTTTATATATATTAGTATATCCTATTGTGTATATATAATATATCCCTGGGAGGTTTTTTGTACGGGTCCTGGGGCTTGAACCCAGAGCCTGGGTACTGTCCCTGAACTTTTTTGCTCTAGGCGAGCTAGCACTCTACCACTTGAACCACAGCTTTCCACTTTTGGTTTTTTTGGTGCTTAATTGGAGATCAGAGTCTCATAGACTTTCCTGCCCAGGCTTAGCTTTGAACCATGATCCTCAGATCTCAGCCTCCTGAACTGCTGGTAACCAGCTCATGTATAATATATTCTTATCTATCACATGCAGATAACATATCCTACTGGTGGCATTTTTAAAGAGGAAACACAATCCATTGTGAATTTGAACTTCTATAGTAAAAGCAGAGCTGGCAGTAGACGAGAGACTTGGGAAGTCCTATTCTACTTCCTGAGACAGAACTCTCCCTAAATTAATTGTGGCTTCTGACCAAACACGTTACTGAGGAGGCACTTCTGCTTTAATGACAGAAACACTGGCTTTGAATTGTGATCCTCAGATCTCAGGCTCCTGAGTAGCTAGGATTACAGGCATGAGCCACTGACATCCAGCTTGTGATTTGCAGTTTGAGTGCAGCTGGACCTGGGCAAGTGCTGCTGTGGGCCATCTCTGACCCGGAGCCCTCCTCTGCCCCCCGCCCCCATGCAGGCTTGCGGCGGGTAATGGTACGGGCCCACCGGCAGGCCTGGTGCTGGCAGGATGAGTGGTATGGGCTGAGCATGGAAAACATCCGTGAGCTGGAGAGGGAGGCACAGCTCATGCTGTCCCGCAAGATGGCCCAGTTTACCGATGATGAGGGAGCTATGGAGCTTGCCAAGGACCACACCACCCAGGACCAGGCATCTGGAGTGCCACCTGAGCCCAGCAGCAGCAACGGGGAGCCCCTGGTAGGGCGGGGCCTCAAGAAGCAGTGGTCCACATCCTCCAAGTCTTCACGGTCATCCAAGCGGGGAGGTGAGCTTCCGTACCAGCCAGCCCCTGTGCTAGGATCCCTGACTTTTGGTACAGGGCCTTCCCTCCCTTCCTCGCCCTTCCACATGGACAGTGTGGGACTCAGCCCCCTGGGGGCAGAGCTCTTCTCTGACACCAGGCTCCGGGCAATGAAGCTGGGACCTTCACCCAGCAGGCCCCAGACATCTACAGCAAGACAGACAGCAGCTAGATGGGTCTGGGTCTGGCTCATGTGGAGGGGCCTAGCCACCCAATGGGACCCTACATGGCATCAGATTCTAGGAAAAGGAAGCGGGCCCCCTGTGCAGCCCTGCTTGCCCTCTGCAAGCCCGCTTTTCCAGGCCTGTGTGTCTGGCTGGCCCTAGGCCCTGCTGTGAGAGCAGATCCACATCTCCCCTGCTGACCCTGCAGTGCACACCATTGTGTACTGTGCTATGGCCCAATTTAAGGGGTTGGTTCATGGTTCAGACCCATGTGAGCAAGCATATGTCCTGGTCTTAACACACCGTGCCTGCCTGTGCCCATACTCCTGCTAGACACCGCAGGAGCTCCTTTTGAAGAAGCTTCTACCCAGATAGGCCCAGTGCACTTCACGCTGTTTTTTGTTCTCTTCCATCTCTGGTGAACCTTCCTGGGTGAGGGGACAGCTTCTGAGGATGCCTGCCTAGCCTTTTGTGGTTTCCTTCACACCTCCTTGCCTGCCACGGTAGGCTGCTGGGCCCTCCCCTGAAAGCCAGAGGTCAATGTGGGGTTTTGCCTTCTAGCCAGCCCTTCCCGCCACAGCATCTCGGAGTGGAGGATGCAGAGCATTGCCAGGGACTCAGACGAGAGTTCAGACGATGAGTTCTTCGATGCTCATGGTAGGCTGGAGATGCCTGCACCCTTAGGGTCTTCCTGGGAAAGGTGGGGCCTGCTGCTATGCAGGGGACAGCCTAGGGGCTGGGAACGGGGCATGGAGGACTCGATGACATCACCAGGGGCCCAGCTTCTTTGAGTCTGGGGTATCAGCTCACCCTGGCCAGACAGCAGGATGTGCTGTGGGCCTGGCAGGAGGAGAGTTCTCTCTTAAAACCCCCCAAAAGAGATACACAATGTTCTGTATTTGTATTTTATTTTGTACTTACCTTCTTTGTCTTGATTAAATACAATTAATACATGCTAAATTAAATATGCACATAATGTAGACACTTCAGAAAACGTAATAAGCAGAGAATAGATGAGCTTCCGATTCCCCCACTAATCCCAAAATGACACTGCAAGCACACAGCCCGCAGCTTGCTGGCGCTGCAAGATGAAAGTGCCCGCGTCCTCTCACAGCCCTCAGAGGGGCCGGCCGGCAGGCAGGCAGGCAGGCAGACAGCCCAGGGAGACGGGTCCCCCATGGGCGAGAGCCGAGCCAGGCTCGCTGCTGCAGCAGAACAGGGGCTCAGAAAGACACAGGGACTTGCCCACAGATGCACAGCAGTTAGGGATACTGTGAGCCTTCTTGTTGCCGCCACCATAGCTTCGAGGGGCAGAGGAGTTCCCAAGTGTGGTATCTTCGTTAACTGGCCAGCGAGACACACTTAGGGACAGGGTTAAGTGGTAGAGCACCTAGTGCTGAAACAAAAACCAAAGACATCAACTATTTGGGAGGCAGAGGAAGGAGTTTCAAACCAGCCCTGGCCAAGTTAGATACTCTAACAACAAATAAACAAATAGATCCAAAGGGCTAGAGGTATATAATTTAATAGTCAGCATGAGGCTCTGGTTTAGGTGCCTAGCACTGGGGAATAGGGAGGCATCAACTGATGGATGGGTAAACAAAAGAACCAGGTTTAGCTATCTAAAGGAAGGGAGCATGGAGATACCCCAGGGTGATGCGCCTTGAACTCAAGCATGATGCTACATGTGGTTCAGTTGATGGGAGAGGAGATAGATTGGTTACTGGTGGCCAAGGTGAGAGTGAGGACTGGCTGTCATGGGTGGTGGAACCATTTCACAGTTAGGGAATGGCAATGTTGGCACGGCGCCGGGAATGTACCCGCTGCCACTTTAAAATAGTTTAAATGGTCAATTTTAGTAGTATATGTATGTCATCACAATTTTTAAAAGTCGGTTGTGTGAGGGCATGACCAGCCTTCAGGGAAGAGAGAGCAGAGCCCAGCACACAGGTCTCCCCCCTGGCTCCCCACCCCAATGAAGGTTCTCTCCTCCCAGAGGACCTGTCCGACTCGGAGGAGATGTTCCCCAAGGACATCACCAAGTGGAGCTCCAATGATCTCGTGGACAAAGTGGAGAGCCCAGAGCCAGAGGACACACAGGGTGACCAGCTTGGGGGGTGCGGGGTGCCCCGAGCCAGGGAACATGCAGGGTGACCAACTTAGTGTACAGTGCTGGGTCCCCTGGGCCCCAAGCTCCTCTTATCAGAGTTACCGCCTTGGACCAGGCTGCCCTGCTACACCTCAGCTCAGATTGTAGCTTCTGTTTTGCAGACAGTCTGTACCGCCAGAGCAGCCCTGAGTTCAGGGTGGCCTCCAGCGTGGAGCAGCTGAACATCATCGAGGTAGGTGCAGAGCCAGGGTTATGCTGCCTGTGGCTGCAAGGAGGGGTAGGGTGCAGAGGACTGGTTTCGGGGAACTGCACCGTAGCATCACGTCCCTGCCCCGCCAGGCAATGCCAGGGTGCCCTGTCCTCACGGCCTTGCTAGGGAGGTATCTGCCAGCCATACCGCCCCCCCCCAACCCCAAGAAGTAAGGACAGCAGGTAGCCCTCAAGATCTTGACCAAGCTCCACTTGTGGGAAAGTAAAATGAGAAACTTATAAATTCCAGATGAAAAATAAGATCTTCACCTTGTGCCTATGCCCAGCCTGCCTGCTGTCCCTGAAGATAAAAAGACGGAAGGAGAGGATGCAAAAGCCATCTAGGCAGAAGTGATGTGGCATGGCCTTCAAGGTGGTGTGTGGAGTCAGGCAGAGCTCAGTGTATCAATAAAGCTGTCTCTGTGGAGCTTGCGTCCCCTTTGGGGGTTCTTTGCTGGCGCCCGTGCCCTTTTCCTCCACCTGCAGGCAGTCAGAGCTGTTTGCACTGGGCGCAGGAGCCATCCTGTGGTCACCACACTGCCCTGGCCCCAAGAATCCTCAGGTGGAGATGGCATCTCTGTGGGAGACTCAGGTCCCTCGGGAAGGTCTGGGGAGGAGAATCTACACCTCTCCACTTGTGGGGTCCTCTGTTTTGAGGTCTGAGGTCTCAGTGGGCTTTTCTGGAAGGGCAGGTAGAAGGGCGTGGTTTCAAGGTGCTGCCTGGTGGCTGAGGCAGCTGCACACAGCTCTGACTGCCCCGGAGGGAGGTGCGGTGCCGGGCTGGGATCTGTCTCGGGGTGTGCGTGGGACCCGCATGATCCCGGGCCGTCACCATCCAAGTCAGACCCCCTGCTGGCAATAACCCTCAAACTGGAACCTTCCCTGTGGAAGGGGGACAGCCTCGCGGAAACATGACGAGGTGCCCTGGCTCTCCAGAGCTGGCCCCTGGCACGCGGTGCCCTGGCTCTCCAGAGCTGGCCCCTGGCACACGGGAGTGGGGGTGGGGTGCTGGTCCCTCCGGAGCTCAGGGGAGGTGAAATTCCGTGCTGAGTCCAGCCAGCGTGTGCAGGATTCTCTTGGCCCCGAGGCGCAGACCCGCTCATCCCCAGATGAGTTAGCACCACCGGACTAGCTCCCTAACCCTAACCCGGGGACAGGCAGGCGGCACAGACTGCCCGAACATCCTCATCACACGAGCCTACGGCTAGCCAGCTGTTCTCCTAACCTGGGCAGGCCATCTGTGGGGACAGATGTTATCCTGCCCTGTGACCCACAGCTGGTTTCCATCAGCAACTTTCCCCAGTCCACTCTCACACTGTGGATGTATCATGTACTCTTCTGTGGCCCCTCCCAGGCCCATGTCACACGAAGCTTACATAGGAGCCAGTGGGGTGGGTCCTGCGAACAGGACTATGGCCTGAGTTGGGCTGTTTGGGAGAGCCCTGAGCTTTGGCAGCAGCTGTGATCCAGTCTGGCTTGGTGCTGACACTAAGTGTGTCCAGAGTGATGCTAGCTCAGTCCCTGGGCCTCTCCTCTCCATCACTTCTCTGAAGAGAATTCCTAGATATCATTCTGGTTGCCGTTAGACCTCAGGTAGATGTGGCCAGGGAGGAGATAGGACTCTTAGTCAGTGAGGAGGAGGTCGGACCCTGTAGTCAGGCCGACAGAGGTGCCTGAGGAAGGCATGAGGGAGGCCCTGCCTCTGCCACAATGTCTCTGCGCTTGGGAATCTTGGTCTTACAGAATCTCAGGAATGGCAGGGGCTAGGATCCAAGGAGCTCTTAGAGGAACTCAGAGCCAGGCTCTGAGTCAGCGATGGCCTTGACTGCTCAGGCCGAGATAATCCATGTCTAGAAGCATACTGGGCAGCAGACCCCACCCCCACCCTGAGGCCAAGGCCAGCCTGGGCCTCTGTTTTCTCTGCAGCCGAGAGCCCAAGCAGAAACAGCTACCTGAGCCATGAAGAAAGAGGAGCTAGTGCTTTTGGAGAGACAGACCCTCCCTCGTGTCCCTTCCTCCTTTCCCCACAGGGGCCTAGTCTCTGCAGGGACCCCAAGGAGGAGCCTAGGCCACAAACCCCTGACCCCCTAGCTAGATACAAAATCAGGGCGCTCAGCCGGGCGCCAGTGGCTCACGCCTGTAATCCTAGCTACTCAGGAGGCTGAGATCTGGGGATCACAGTTCAAAGCCAGCCCGGGCAGGAAAAATCCGTGAGACCACTCAGAAAACCAGAAGTGGCACTGTGGCTCAAGTGGTAGAGCACTAGCTTCGAGCTGAAGAGCTGAGGGACAGCACCCAGGCCCAGAGTTCAAGCCCCATGACCGACCAAAAACAAAAAACAAGAAAAAAAACTCAGGGCTCTCAGCTGGAGCAGTTGGGTCAAGACAGGCCTCCCCCAAAGCGAGAAGGCTCTAGACACCAGTGACACCCACTCCCGCCCACGCAGGATGAGGTGAGCCAGCCACTGGCCACACCGCCCTCCAAGATCCACGTGCTGCTGCTGGTGCTGCATGGAGGCACCATCCTGGACACGGGCGCCGGGGACCCCAGCTCCAAGCAGGGTGATGCCAACACCATCGCCACCGTGTTCGACACAGTCATGCGAGTGCACTACCCCAGCGCCCTGGGCCACCTTGCCATCCGCCTGGTACCGTGCCCTCCCATCTGCGCTGACGCCTTTGCCCTTGTCTCCAAGTGAGTGGCTTTTGCCCACTGGCACCTGTCCTAGCCCTCCGTGTCCCAGAGCATCACGGGGCTCCTCCAGGATGGGATCCCTGCCCGGATGTCCTGTCCTGCCACCAAGCCCTCTGCCTGCCCAGAGGCAGCAGAACCTGTGCAGACATGCAGAGCTTCAGTTCCGGGAGGATGGGCCAAGGTCAAGCCTCCATTTCCAGTTCTGTAGCGGGATGCTGACCTGCCTCCATCTACTAGGGGCCCTGGTCCCCTGAGCCTGCCCAGGGCCTGGTCCAGGAGCATCCCCATTTGCACCTGGGAATGGGCAGCTCTAGCTTCCTGCCCAGGGCCAGGGAAAAGGCCCTTTGGGTGGGGCTGAGGCCACCTTCCTTCTGACCCAGCCTCTCACCCCTAGCTTGAGTCCCTACGGCCATGACGAGGGCTGTCTGTCCAGCAGTCAGGACCACATCCCCCTAGCTGCCCTGCCACTGCTGGCCACTTCCTCGCCCCAGTACCAGGAGGCAGTTGCCACGGTGATTCAGCGGGCCAACCTGGCCTATGGGGACTTCCTTAAGTCCCAGGAGGGCGTGACCTTCAATGGGCAGGTGAGTGGAGGACAGAGAAGACCCTGTAGGGTGGGCTGGCCAGAGGACCAGGGGTGTCCCCTTCAACACCCACAGTGGAGTGGACACCCAGACCCCTGGGCCCTTTCTGACTCCAGGTTGGCCTGATTGGGGACTGTGTTGGGGGAGGGCGTGGCCCTCAATGGGACTGGGACCCTCCTGCCTCCAGGTCTGCCTGATCGGGGACTGTGTTGGGGGCATCCTGGCATTCGATGCCTTATGCTACAGCAGCCAGCCCGTGTCGGAGAGTCAGAGCAGCAGTCGCCGAGGCAGCGTGGTCAGTGTGCAGGTACCTATGCATGGGGGGACAGCGTGGGAGGATGCTCCATTGGCCCCAAACCTTCACCAAGGTCTGCAGTTTCCCGTGTGCCACGTAGAACGGCCACACTGCCTGCTACAGGCCACCAAGCTATCACCTTGGCCCCCTGCTGCCGCCTGAGCAGAGCCCAGCAAAGACCTCAAGAGCTGACTTGGTCATCACCCAGCCCAGATCCATTCATTCTGTGCATTTGGCAAACTGTCCAAGCCCCTGAGCCCCTGCAGTAATTCCCCACCAGGCCAGGATCTGAGGGCTGGGAGAGGCGCAGGAGAATGGAGGATGTCCACTTAGGACTGAGGCTGAGGAGTCAGAAAAGCTCTACACTAGTGCAAAGGAGTCGGGAGTATTCCTTGGGAACTTGATCCTGGGTAGCCAGCTGGGCCAGGAATGAAGGCTGGTAAGATGTGGCCAGTGGTTTAAGCCGCAGGAGACCAGTGTCCTTCTTCCCCCTCATTTGCTTGGGCAAAGGCTCATGGATGGGCAGTGGCTGTGTGGGCCTGGAGTCAGGAGGTAGGACTGGACACTGAAGAAGAGTCTGGTCCAGTGGCCAGCCAGCAGTGAGCTTCCATGGGGCCATTTCAGGACGCTGACCTGCTGTCCCCGGGCATCCTGGTGAACACAGCGCAATGCTCTGGCAGCGGCAGTTGTGGCGGTGGCGGCGGCAGCAATGGCTCCAGCCTAGAAAGCAGTCGACACCTCAGCCGCAGCAACATCGACATCCCCCGCGGCGATGGCACTGAAGACTCCAAAAGGCAGCTGCCCCGCAAGCGGAGCGACTCCTCCACCTACGAGCTGGACACCATCCAGCAGCACCAGGCCTTCCTGTCCAGGTAAAGCTTTGGGGACAGGCTGAGCAAGGAAGGGCGGCCCCAGAGGGAAGGAGGAGGGTGACCCTGTTTGCTGGATCTGGGGGCCATCCAGAGACGTGGGAAGCACTGTCCTAAGGCGGGCAGGGCCACCTGGCAGCGCTGTGCCGAAGGCAGTCAGCTCCCTGCAGACCTGACTGGCTGTCACTGGAAACATCCTGACAGGCGCCAGGCCGCTGTCCTCCCATGAGACTGAGGGAAGTGGCCTTGACTTGCGTGTCCCCCTGTAGCCTCCACGCCAGCGTCCTGAGGAACGAGCCCAGCTCCCGCCGCTCCAGTAGCTCCACCATGCTGGATGGCACTGGCGCCCTGGGCAGGTTTGACTTTGAGATCGCCGACCTCTTCCTGTTTGGATGCCCACTGGGGCTGGTTCTGGCCTTGAGGAAAACAGTCATCCCTGCCCTGGACGGTGAGAGCCCTGCAGGGACAGGCAGGGTGCACAAGCCACTAGTGGTCTCTGGGGACCTGTCCTGAGGCCACGGCACACCCAGCCCATCCACCACTCTGACCCACAAGGCCCCTGGCCTTTGTTGCTTCCGTGGCTCGGTTGCTGGTATGCCACGCCTCTGCTTCTCTCAGGCACCTAGGAGCAGATACTGCCAGGGTCGAAGCACAGACCCGTCTCTAGCTGGAAGACCTTCCCAGAGGGAAGCTGTGAGCTGGGCACCCCAGGGCCTCCCAGCCTCCACAGATGATGGTGGGCGTCTGTCAGCAGGAGCCCTGCCTGTGCCCCTGCATGGCCCAACCTGGGCAGCCCGAAGGAACCATGGGTCCCTGTGGTAGCCAGAATAGCCCTAGAAAGGCCTAGCCAGACCCAACACCATGGGTGCTGGGTTAAAATGCCGGCCCTGAACCTCCCACCCTCCCACGGGGCCACCATGGCCTCAAGGGACCTGAGGGCCAGGTAGGCTTGCAAGGACAGCCACCCGCTGAGCGCACCCGGCTGGCCCACAGACTCACACGTGTGCACTGGCCACAGCGGGGCCCTTCCGCAGATACCACAGGTGAATGAGGGAGCCACCGGTGCTGCCCTGGAAAGCACCAGCTTTTGCACTAAGTGGGGAGTAATGGCACACACCCTGACCCTCACGCGCTTCCCTGTAATTCTAGGAGTGGTCTGTGTAGGAAAAAATGAGAAGTTTTCATTGGGGCGTTGGGGCTGTAGCTAGCGGCAGAGTGCTTTTCTAGCATGTGCAATGGGGTTCCAGCCCCAGCACTGGTAAAAACAAATCCAATTTGATAGCGATGTGGCAGAGCCAGCCGGGGGCCCCAGCCTGGCCTCCTCACCGCTGTGTGCGTCTGGCCCCCTCCGCAGTGTTCCAGCTGCGGCCCGCCTGCCAGCAGGTGTACAACCTGTTCCACCCCGCGGACCCATCCGCCTCCCGGCTGGAGCCACTGCTGGAGCGGCGCTTCCACGCCCTGCCGCCCTTCGGCATCCCCCGCTACCAGCGCTACCCGCTGGGGGATGGCTGCTCCACGCTGCTGGGTAAGGCTCCCGGGACGGCGGAGCTGGAGTGGCACTGCTCCCCAAGGGAAGGGACAGGGGCACTGACACCTGTTCCCAGTGGGTATCTGGCGAGGTCAGCTCATAGCAGAGTTCTGGAGTGACTTCCTCCTGTCCGGCCAAGGACACGCTCAGGACCCCCGGGCGGCTGGGGCAGCCAGGGCTGGTCCTGCCCCTGCAGGCACACAGCTCAGGGGCCGGAGGGCCTGCCGGAGTTACACACGTTGTGGGCTGCGTCCGTCGCAGACAGGGCAGAGTAGAGGATGTGGGCTGGAACGTGAGAGGGGTCCCCTAAAATGGCCTGTCCCCGAGCCCCCAGCGTGTCCCACCCGACATTGTGTCATGTCCTGGTCCTCGAGCCGAAGTCTACGTCCGTGGGTGTACAGCAGCCACTCGAGTGTCTGTTCTTGTCCTTTCTGTTCTCTCCCTGCCTGCCTCCAGTTGAGACCGTGCAGAGAAACCCTGAGCTGGTCCTGGAAGGTGGCCCCCTGGCCCCTCTCCCCCAAGGGGATGGCTTCCTGGAAACCAGTATCCCCGTTCCCGCGCTCACCTGGCAAGACGGGCCCCGCCCGAGTCCGGGCTGTGCTGAGTGTGTGTATCCCAACATCTGCGTAGCTGCCGACGCCTGGTCCTTATGCCCGCCCCCCACGCCCTCTTTGGCCACTCAGAGTCGCAGGATGTTGGTAGTGGGAAGAGACTTACGAGGCTCTGGGGAGTTGGCCATGGTGCTTCCTCCCTGTGCCTGGAATGCCAGTGGCTGGGGACTAACGGCTAAAGCAGTCAGTAGCCCAGGCATCAGGAGAGGAGAGCTGTGCGAGGGTCACACAGCCTGCCAGCAGCGTCCACAGGAGATGCAGCTCCTTGAGGCTGGCAGAACCCGGCAGTGGGCTGAGGCACCGCCAGCCCCCTCCCACCCCATGCCAAGGAGAGGCGAGCAAGGAGTTGGGTGCTCCAGGTCCCTGAGTTCAAAACTCCAGAACAGTAGAGAGGAAAGGGAAGGAGGGCTGGCCTCACTCCCTGAGGATGCAGGTCCTGCACCTGCCATCCAGACTGGCTCCTCTGGCTGAGTCCTGACCTCAGCCAGGGCCCAAGCGAGCCTGGCTGGAGGTTGAGCATCTCCCTTTGTGCCAGATAGCCAAGAGGAGCTGAGTCGGTCCAGCCCGCGGGTGAGGGCTGCCTCCTCAGAGCTCAGCGTACGTAGGGCATCTAGAGAGCCCAGGCCACTGTGGTTTGTGCCCCTCAAACCCAGGTCAGGCCTGCCTGGCCAGCTGTGAGTCAAGCTGGGCTGGGGCTGCTGGAGACCAGCTTAGGAGCCATACAGGGAGAAGAGATGGCCAAGGGGGGGCAAGATCCCTGGCCTCGCCTCCCTACCCTGTCTCTGTGCTGTCTGTCCGTCCATCCTTTCATGCCTCAGCCCTCCTCCTCCCCTCCTCCCCCTCCTCTCCCCCCCCACCCCGCCTCCACTCAGGCCCCTTGGCTCTTGCCTCCTTGAGCTGCCCCAGCCCAGGTGCATGCCACACTCGGCACGCAGGTCTCCCTCTGTTCTGGGAGGGCCGGGGCCAGGCTGGGCCTCGCTCACCTGGGCCTCTGTGCCTGTCCACCTGCAGCAGATGCACTCCAGACCCACAACACGGTCTTCCAAGAGCACGTGGCCCCTTCATCACCGGGCACGGCCCCAACCAGCCGCGGCCTCCGCAGAGCCAGTGAGATCAGCATTGCCAGCCAAGTGTCAGGCATGGCTGAGAGCTACACGGCGTCCAGCATCGCCCAGAGTGAGTGGCCTCTCCTGAGCCCTTCTCATTGTCACAGGCGGCTCATCGGGGGCCCGTGGGGCAGCTGGCCACACCTGTATCCATTCCCAATTGCCACACTGGTGGGGGGGGCAGTGCTAGTGGTTTCTAGCTGGTAAGAGTGGCATCCTCAGGAGGAGCTGGAGAGGAAACATCAGGACATCAGACATAGCCTCTCTTGTCAGTTGGCCCTGCCTACCTCAGGAGCTCCCATTAGCTGGAAACAGGGTCTAGAGCAGCTGCTCTGTGCTGCGGTAGGTTCTAGGGGCTGTTGTTGGAGCAGCTGCAATAGGGCTGGGGCTGTTGTCTTTCTGGTTCTCTGTGGTACGTGTGGGGGGTGGGGGTGGGGGGGGTGTTTTGGTCATACACTTGAACCCAGGGCCTGGTACTGTCCTTGAGCTCTTTTTGCTCAAGGCTAGTGCTCTACCACAGCGCCACTTTCGGTTTTCGAGTGGTTTATTGGAGATAAAGAGTCTCACAGACTTTCCTGCCTGGGCTGGCTTTGAACCGTGATCCTCAGATCTCAGCCTCCTGAGTAGCTAGGATTCAGGCGTGAGCCACTGGCGCCCTGCTGGTTTCGTTTCTTGCGTGGAGGGCCTGGCCCCATAGCGTGGCATCCCAGGGTGTGTCTGAGCTGTTCCCCTTGTTCTTGCTTCTCAGAGGCCCCCTCGTCGCTCAGCCACACCCCCAGTGTCAGGCGCCTGTCCCTTCTCGCCCTGCCCCCCCCCTCCCCAGTCATGCTTGGCTCTCATCCCCGGGGCCGGCAGGCCGGCCCTAGCCTGGAGAGGGCCCCTTGCCTCCCTGACTTGGACATCGGAGAAGGTACCCCGCTCACAGCACCTAACACAGACACTGCTGTGCTGAGCATGCCGCACACTCACTGCCCCCAGCCCCTGAGGCCTCGTGGAGATAGCTCACGCCCTGGGCTGGGAGGGAGCCCCAAGGAGCAGCAAGCTGTGAACCAGGACCCATAAAACGGGCACCACCTGCTGGACGCCTGCTGCACAGTCAGGGCACGCGCCAGGCCAGTCCCTGAGGATGGCCAGGACTGCCCTCAGGCAGCCCTGGGCTCTGGCTGCAGCCCGCACAGCCCGGTGCTGAGGAGGGCCAGGCTTGTCCTGGCAGGTCTGCAATTGAGACCAAAAATATCCTTCCTCTGCGATGCCATTCACGGCACACAGGTCGGAAAGCAGGGGAGAGGCCCAGGGAGGGCTGGGTGAGCAGAGCCAGGGCTCCCCGCCCTCGGCAGACCCACAGAGCCACGGGCTGTGTGCGGAGCTACCCTCTGGGTCCTTTGGCTGCCTGGGCATCCTGGCATCTGCTACCCACACAGCTGTCGCTCCAGGCTGCACTGGGAGGGGAGGACAAGTCTGGGGTGGACAGGCCCAAGGGACCCAGGGGGCCCCTGCCCAGTGCCCAGTCATGGCTCCTCCTCCCAACAGTTGCTGCAAAGTGGTGGGGCCAGAAGCGGATCGACTATGCCCTGTACTGCCCCGACGCCCTGACAGCCTTCCCCACGGTGGCCCTGCCCCACCTCTTCCACGCCAGCTACTGGGAGTCCACCGACGTGGTCTCTTTCCTGCTGAGACAGGTAGCGGGAGCCCCGCGGCCAGGCACACAGGCTTCACAGGGGGACCCCGCAGGGAGATGGCTGGGTAGGGTGTGCAGGCAGGGGTGAGGGGGCCTCCTCCATCCGCGGCCCGCCAGGCCACCGCAGGTAGGAGCCGTGGTGCTGGGGTGGGGGCATCGCCACCAGGGGCCGGTGGGCACTTGAGGTTGCAGGCAGTCTACAGAGGGTTGAATAGTACCCCCAGCTCCCCCCTGCCAGCCCCTGGGGCCGTGGGGTCCGCAGGAGCAGCAGCCCAGCTGGGAGCCGGCCCGCTCTCCCCTCCCCCAGGTCATGAGGCATGACAGTTCCAGCATCCTGGAGCTGGATGGCAAGGAGGTGTCCGTGTTCACCCCCTCGCAGCCCAGAGAGAAGTGGCAGCGCAAGAGGACCCACGTGAAGCTGCGGGTGAGGGTCCTTGGGGTGCCCAGACCCCCGGGCTGCTCTGTGTCCTATTTAATCCTTGTCAGAAGCCCGGGGGTCACAGAGGAGGAGCCTGGGTGGCGGAGAGGCACGCTGTTCCCCCCAACCTCCCGGGGGGCGGAAGAGGCCGGAGCTGCGAACTCGTTGCACACGCAAGGAAGCCCAAGGCCCGAGAGTCGGGTGGCCAAGCCCACTCCTCAGGCCAACGGGAGCATAAGCGGCCTCCACGTCCCCCCAACCCCATCCACTGTCCACTCCCCAGAACGTGACGGCCAACCACCGGATCAACGATGCGGTCGCCAACGAGGATGGCCCCCAGGTTGTGACGGGCCGGTTCATGTACGGGCCCCTGGACATGGTCACTCTCACTGGAGAGAAGGTGAGGGCACGGCGGACCGTGGCTGGGGCTCAGGGACTGGGGGTCCAGGACACAGCTGGCTGTGACCGGCCTGCCTGGGCTCCAGGTGGATGTGCACATCATGACGCAGCCACCCTCGGGGGAGTGGCTGCACCTGGACACGCTGGTGACGAACAGCAGTGGACGTGTCTCCTACACGATCCCGGAGACGCACCGCCTGGGGGTGGGTGTCTACCCCATCAAAATGGTGGTCAGGTATGCACCTCTGCCGGGGGTGGGGGGGTGCCAGGGCCAGCCTCCTGGGGACAGGAAAGGTGGCTCGGGTTGGTTCTGACAAGCTGTCCCCTCGCCAGGGGAGACCACACATTTGCCGACAGCTACATCACTGTGCTGCCCAAGGGCACGGAGTTTGTGGTCTTCAGCATTGATGGCTCCTTTGCCGCCAGCGTGTCCATCATGGGCAGTGACCCCAAGGTGCGGGCCGGGGCTGTGGACGTGGTGCGGTGAGTGGCCCAGGGGCACGCGGTGTGACGGTCACAGGTGGGCGGCTTCCCCAGCCCAGAGGGAGGAAAAGCTGTGGACACCAGGAGACCCATCCTAGGTCCCAGGGAGCCGAGTTGGGATCCCAGCGCCACCCTTAACAGAGGTATGACTGGATGAGTTGCTCAAGTTCAATGGCCATCTTCAGTTCCCCAATGAGAAGGAAGTTAGGAAGCCAGGTGCCATACCTCAGGCTCACGCCTGTAATCCTAGCTAGGCAGAAGGCTGAGATCTGAACGCCACCGCTTTAAGCCAGCTCAGGAAGGAATTAACCACCAAAAAGCCAGAAGTAGAGCTGTGGCTCAAAGCCTTGAGCACAAAATCTCAAGGACAGCGCCTAAAAAAAGGGGAGGAGGGGCACTGGGAAGGTGGCTCAGTGGTAGAGTGCTTGTCTTGCATGCATGAAGCCCTGGGTTCGATTCCTCAGCACCACATAAAAAAAAAGGCCGGAAGTGGTGCTGTGGCTCAAGTGGTAGAGCAGCCTTGAGCTGAGGGACAGCACCCAGGCCCAGAGTTCAGGCCCCATGACCAATAAAAAAGAAAAAAGGAAGCTGAACAGCAGTGAACACCCTGAGGGCTCTCGGCTGTCCCGCTCAGGCCGACCACGATCTCCATCAGAGACTCTCTTTCCAGTGGCCCTGTGGTGCCTCCTGGGAGGAGGCGGGGAGGGCGGGGGAGGGGGGGGCCGCAGCCCACTCAGGCCTGTCCCCGCTGCAGGCACTGGCAGGACTTGGGCTACCTCATCATCTACGTGACAGGCCGGCCTGACATGCAGAAGCAGCGAGTGGTGGCGTGGCTGGCTCAGCACAACTTCCCCCATGGCGTGGTGTCCTTCTGTGACGGCCTGGTGCACGACCCACTGAGGCACAAGGCCAACTTCCTGAAGCTCCTCATCTCGGAGGTGGGGCCAGGAGCAGCAAGCTGGGCAGGGGTGGGGCTGAGGGGAAGAGGGCAGGGAGGAGAGGGAGGACCGGGACTGACCGCAGGCCCAAGTGTGCTCTGGCTTTCCTTCCCGCAGCTGCATCTGCGTGTGCACGCGGCCTACGGCTCCACTAAGGACGTGGCAGTGTACAGCTCCATCAGCCTGTCCCCCATGCAGATCTACATCGTGGGCCGGCCCACCAAGAAGCTGCAGCAGCAGTGCCAGGTGAGCGGAGAGGCCGTGGTGGGCAGTCCCAGGAGTCTCAGCATCCCCGCCCCCAACCCATCCGCTTTGCTGCCCCTACAGTTCATCACAGACGGCTATGCGGCCCACCTGGCCCAGCTCAAGTACAACCATCGCGCGAGACCAGCCCGCAACACCGCCACCCGCATGGCGCTGCGCAAGGGCAGCTTCGGCTTGCCGGGCCAGGGCGACTTCCTGCGCTCCCGTAACCACCTGCTCCGCACCATCTCAGCCCAGCCCGGCGGGCCCAGCCTCCGGCATGAGAGGACGCAGAGCCAGGCCGAGAGCGAGCTGCGGGGCCAGCGCAGCCTGAGCATGGCAGCCAGCTGCTGGGGCCGTACCATGACCGGCCGGCTCGAGCCAGGGGCAGTCACGGGCCCCAAGTAGGGCACTGTTACGAGGCGCTGTGGTCTCCATGGTGCTAGGCCAGGGTGCCAGCCCCACTGGGAGGCCTGGCCTGGAAACTGGCAGGCAGCTGGGAACAAGCACATTTGTGGCCTGGGAGCTGGTTCCAGGGCCCCGTGGGGATACAGCCATGCCACAGTCCTCCCGGCCATGCCTCGCGTCTTAGGGTCTGTGGAAGCTGGCAGGACATCCCACTTAGCCTGGCCTGGGAGGCCCCCCCCCCCCCCCCGAACATCCTGCTGTGCATAGAGCTCCCAGCCTGAGCCAGCTGTGGGCCAGACTCAGCCTCCACCTCCTTCCCCCTAGCTCCCCAACCAAGGCCCCTCCTGTTTGGGAACGGCTCCAACAGGGGTCCAGCCTGCTTTTTGTTGACTCCAGTTTCTCAACTGTTCAACCTCACTGGTTTTGCACTGATTTTTGAGTGGAGACCCCTTGCCACCTCTGACGGCTAGATTCGTTGACATGCATGAAAATTCAGTATTTGCTGACCCAGGACTTCTTACCACACAGAAGGTCCCAGTGTGGCAAACCCACATACAAGCAGGAGAGAAAGGCCATATCTTAATTTGGGCAGCCCTGGACTGTGGCCCGCCACCCCGGCCCCACGTGCAGCTGGGTCTGGCTGCAGGGCTGGTGCACAGCACAGGCCTGCTGCCCGCAATGTCCACAGCGGGCTCCCGACTAGCCTCACCCTGGGCTGCGGGGCCTGGCCTCCACTTCTGCTCCTTGCCTGCCATTGGCCGAGGCCCCATGCCATGGCCGCCCGCCCGCGTTTCTACGCCTTTCTACTTCTCAATCTGATTTCTATGAGGTTTTTTTAATGAGCAATCCTTGGCTGCTTCCTTTTCTTAACTCTTTGCGTACAAGCGCAGCCCTTCCACGTGGGAGACACCCAGCACTGTGAGTGTCCAGCCTGGCTCTGGACGTGGGCCCCGCCCCCTTCCCCCCCTCTGCAAGGTGTGGGCTCCCGGCCCCACCTGACCCATGGATTCCACTGAGTCTCGACTCTGGGGTGGGTGGGGCACACACTTAGGTTTTTTTAATGCCAATTCCGTTTTGATGCTCAATCTAAGAATAAGAAGCCACAGTTAGCTTCATTAGCTTCAGGGTGGGCAGCCCTGACTCCATTTTTTTCCTGAACCAAGGACAAACCATCCAGCACCCACCTTCCCATCCCAGCACCGAACGCAACCTCCGGTGCTCCTCCATCTTCCCGGAAGTGGGCAAGCCCGCTGGGCCCAGCCGGACTCCGTCTCAGGGCTGCACGCCTGGGCTGGAGAGGTGCGGGCGGATGCTAACTTTCCTGTGTGTAGATATGTACAGCCGGAGGGGTACGTGTCCTGCGAGAGCAGGCCTGCATTCAGAGGGAAAGCTATTTATTTTGTGCAGAGAAAATTGTCTGGAGGGATGGAACCTTCAGGTTTACTCATATTTAAGATGTAGCTTTTCGTTGTTTCAGGCGTTATGTATAAAGCAACGATGATTTTATGGACCAAGTTTCCATGTAAGTGTTGCAGTCAAGTGCAATATCTGGCCCCTCTGCTCCAGGCAGGAGGCCATCGGCCCGACAATCACAGCCCCCGCCAGGGCCCTGTGGCCGGTGCCGCCTCCTCTCGGCCCCCTTCACATTGTCCCGCCTACACCGTGGTGACCCAGCCATTTGAAGTATCTGGAAGTCCCAGGCCTGCCTGCAATAAAGGCCAGGCGGCCTCCCGGCCAGGGAGAGCCTGCCGACAGTGGGCTTGGCCTCTCCCCACTCCTTTCCCCTCCCCTGCCCAGCCGCCAGCCATGCCAAGGACAATAGCAATAGTCCCCTGGGCCTCTTCCATGGCCCTCAGCCATAGATGGTGAGATGGGCAGCCTCTCCCCCCCTCCCCCACCTCTGTAACCTGGTCTGCTTTTGGCCTTCCTACCTAGAATTCATTTGGCACCGTCTCCAGTTTCCCACCAACTACGAGAGGGAGGGCACACAGTCCTTTAAAATACCAAAAATGTTTACAGTGTCAGGTGCCGAGCTGCAGGGCTTGGGCCTGACCAGTGGTAACCAAAGGGTGAGGCAGGCCTCGCTGACTGCCACCCACCCCAGGCCTGTTAGAATAGAAGCCTTAGTCCCCCGCCCCAGCCCCAGACTGACACTCGGTGGCCCCCAGCTCCGACCACCTGCCTTCTCTCATTTCTGAGAGATTTAGCAGAAACCCTCACCCAGTCCCAGCTCAGTGTGAGCTGTCCACCTGCTCACCCCGTCCTGTCCAGCCCTCACACCTCCCCCTCTTGTCTGTCCTCGTGCCGTTTGTCTCTCTGGGCCATGTGAGCAGTGTCCTCACCTCCTCCCCTGCTCCCCACATCATCAGCCTGAGTGTGCTCTGTATGCAGCGTCACTGTCTGTTACACCAATTAAAGAAGCAAGAGGCTTCCTTCTCGTCTCATTACTGTGGCGATCAAGGCACGGGTTGGGCAGGGCCATCCTCAAGGAAAAACTGGTGAGGAGGGGCGTTCCTCCCAATCAGCGGGGCCTGGTGCACATGGTGACACCAGCCCAAGTGTGTAGCTGGCCGCCATTGCTACTGACGAGGGTCTGTGGGCCCGTGCCACACAGAGTCAGCCAGCAGCCAGTTAGCATTCCTACCCAGAACCCTGGATCTTGGGCACTATGGTGATCTGGGGCGGGATATGGGCAGTAGTTGTACCCGAAGCTTGCATGGGTCACACCTTAAGTGCCTAAGACTGGAGTGTGGGTCCTATCAAAGCGGGAGCAGAGGTGGCTAGGGTGACTTGTGTTCATTACTAGGAGACATGCCAGCTCTCTCAAACTCCTAGAGCCTATCCCTACCTCACACTCCCAAAAAGTATGTCAGGTGCCAGTAGCTCACATCTGTAATCCTAGACACTCAGGAAGCCAAGATCTAAGGATGGTAGTTCAAAGTCAACCCCGGGCAGAAAAATCTGAGGTTCTTGCCTCCAGTTGACCACCAAAAAGGTAGAAGTAGAGTGGTGGCTCAAGTGGTAGAGTGCTAGCCTTGATCACAAAAACTAAGAAGCCCTGAGTTCAAGCTCAGCACAAGAAAAAAAAAAAAACTGGGAATGTGGCTTAGTGGTAGAGCATGCATGAAGCCCTGGGTTCCATTCCTCAGTACCATATACACAGAAAAGGCCAGAAGTGGCGCTGTGGCTTACGTGGTAGGATGCTAGCCTTGAGCAAAAGAAGCTCAGTAACAGTGCCCAGGCCCTGAGTTCAAGCCTCAGGACTGGCAAAAAAAAAAAAATTCAAGTAGTGCCCTCAGCACAGAAAGCAACAGGACAAGAAGTCTGTGGCCAGGGAACATTTAATATTCATTTAATATTGGGATGCAGCACTCTTCAGATGCATTAGGGCTAGTGATCCAGTCCTCTACCCCTTCCTGAGAGGCCACTGGGCCAGCATGGGCCCCCCACAGGTAGACAGGTATGCCCATCAGGCTAGCCGCCCCCTCCCAGAGGCCTGAGTCCAACCTGCCATCAGCAGTCCACAGGCCCAGAGCAGCTGGAGCCCTCAGGGAAGCAGCCCGGCTCGTATCTGGAAGGCCAGGCCATCCCCTCGGGTGGCTTGCTGAGGAAGAGAAAACAGGAGGACAGGGCCATGAGAAACAGGGCTGAGAGCAGACATGGGCAAAGGGGCGACACCAACCTTATTGATCTCTCTGTGTCGTTCTTTGGTTACGATTTCCTCTAAGACCTCTCCATCACCCTTGATAAGCCTGTGGGTAAGATAGTGTCCATCAGCAAGAAACTAGTTAAGCCCCTTGTGCCAGAGCAACAGAACCAGAACCTCTCAGCAGAGGTCCCAGTGTCCACCATCTTCAACCTGGGGCTAGGGGCTGGTGGTTGATACCTGTAATCCTAGGTAGTCAGGAGACAGATCTGAGGATCAAGGTCCAAAGGATGCCCAAGCGGGAAAGCCTAGGATTCTTTTTTTTTTTTTTTTTTGGTCGGTCATGGGGCCTGAACTCTGGGCCTGGGCGCTGTCACTCAGCTCTTCGGCTCAAGGCTAGCGCTCTACCACTTGAGCCACAGCGCCACTTCCGACCTTTTCTGCTTATGTGGTGCTGAGGAATCGAAGCCAGGGCCTCATGCATGCAAGGCAAGCGCTCTACCCCTGAGCCACCTTCCCAGCAGGCCTATGATTCTTAACTACAGTTAAGGAGCAAAAAGCCTGAAGTGGAGCTGTGACTCAAGCAGCAGAGTGCTAGCTTTGAGTAAAAAGGCTAAGGCACAGCGCTCAGGCCCTGAGTTCTAAAAAGGCTAAGGGACAGCGCTCAGGCCCTGAGTTCATGCCCGAACACAGCCCGAAAGGTACCCACCCCCAAGGCTGCCCTCGGGACAGGGATGGCGGCAGCCCCACGGTGGGCCCGGCCTTGCCAGCCTGCGCCAATCCAACCAACAACAGCCGCTCGGAAAAGCCTCAAGGCCCATCCTTCCCCGCAGCCACTCACTCCCACGGGAACCAGAGAGGAATGGCTGAGTAGTGACTGGTTCCTTGCCAACCCCCCCCCCGGGGGTGGGGGCACAGGAGGCCTGGCGGCGCCCAAGCCCATCACCTGGTGCGTCCCGTCTCCGGGTCCACCACCTTGCGGATGACGCTCTGCCGGGCGTCCCACTCCGCCTTGGTCATGGGCTTCATGGCCTGGATGCGGGACTTCTGCTCATCAGTCAGGACTGAAAGGGGCCGTGGGAGGCGGGGTCAGGCCGGCCTGGGGAGGGGACCCCCGGCCCCGGCCCCCGCCGGCCGGTCAGCGCAGGACCTGGGCCATCCTCTTCCTCCCCGGCTGATCGGTGCCACTGGTCCAGCGAGGGCCCGGGCAGAGCCTCGGCCTGCTGCACCTCCGCCTTCTCTTTGTCTTTCTTCTTCAGCTTCTTCTTCCTCTTCCTCTTCCTCTTCTTCTTCCGCTTCTTATCCTTGTGCTTCCCCCGCTTCTTCCGGCCATCACTGGAGGAGGAGGAGGAGGAGGACGAGGAGGAAGAGGAGCTAGAAGAACTGGAAGAGGAGGAGGAGGAGCTGGCTCGAGGTCTCCTCCGGGCCTTGCGCTTGCTTCTCTCTGTGATGCAGGGAGAAGGGGAGGGTGGAGGGGGGGGCACGTAAGCCGGGTCCCCACGGCGGGCTGCACGGCGGGCGGGCCCGGCCCCCCGCCCCCGGGGTCTCGGCCTCGGGGCTCCGCTCCGCACCCCGGGCCGCGGCCGGGCCCAGGGGCCGCTCCCGCTCTCCGTCCGCGCGGCCCTCACCCTCCGCCCCGGGGGTGGCGCTGGCCTTTGGCCCCCGGGACCCCGAGGCCGCGCAGCTCCTCGAGGCGTCCGAACCACTCTCCTTCCTTTTGCTTTCCGACCCTCGCCCCCGCGACCGGCTGCGACTTCTCGAGCGCTTGCGACGGGCGGCGTGAGCCATGGCGGGCGCCGCGGGCTGGGGAGCGAGAGGGGCGCGCTTAGCCCGCGGCCCGGCCGGTCGGGTCTGGAGAGGGGGCCCCGAGGACGGCTCCTGCCCGGACCCCCGCCTCCGCGCCGACTCCGCCTGCGCTGCGGCGCCTTTAAGGCCCCGCCCCCGCGCGGCCGCTCCGCGCCTGCGCACCGGACAAGGCCGCCAGGGAGTCCTCCGCTCCACGCCTGCGCACCCGGCCCCGCCGGCCGCTACGCGCTTGCGCACCCGACACGGCCGCCTGGGAGTCCTCCGCTCCACGCCTGCGCACCCAGCCCCGCCGCCTGGGAGCCCTCCGCTCCACGCCTGCGCACCCGGCCCCGCCGCCTGGGAGCCCTCCGCTCCACGCCTGCGCACTCGGCCCGGCACGCCCCCTCCCGCCCCCGGGGCTCGGCCCGGCCACCCTAAGGCTGCGGCCCATCTGGCCGGACCGCCAACCCACAGCGCCTTCCCAGGCGGGAAGGCGGCGTCCGGCGTGACTTAGGGCACTGCTGCCGGGAGTTCCGACGCTTCCACATCCGCCCCCGGAGCTCCCGTTCCCTGCACCGGCCAGCCGGGGGTCCGGGCTCGGAGCCGGGCCGACCCCATGCCCACAGCCCCGCCGGGACCAGCGATCGCCCGGCCTTGGTCGCAGCCCTGCCCGCTCCCAGGTCCCAGGACCGCCCTGCGGAGTCGCGCTTGGACCACGCGTCTCCGGATAATGCGTCCCTCTGGCTCGCTGCTCTCCTCGTCTCTTCGCGGCTCCGCGCTGAGCCGCCCTGGGCCTTCTCGCCCGGGTGAAGGAGCGGACCCAGGCCGGCCCAGAGCGGCGTGGGGGCCGCAGAATGGGACCGGCCTGCTTTCCCGGAGACGCCGCGCTCAGGGTTTCAAGGTGGAAATCGCAAAGCATGGCTGTGCGCTCACCTCTTCCAGTCTTGGAGCTGCCCGCTCATCTCTCCGGGAAGGAGACAGCACACGGGCTGTTATTTGTTATAAAGCGCTTTATAACTGCCAACTCACTGGATTCTCACAAGACCACGCAAGGCGCAGAAGAGTCCCGAGGCTCACAGCCAGAGTTGGATGTGGCAGAAGCTGGACTTGAACTTAGCCCCTGCCCTCCACCCCCACCTCTAGGAAGTGATGAGCCCGCCCTGCCCTGCCCTGCCCCATCCTGGGACTGGCTGTGGTAGGAATTCCATCAGAGCCGCCTGTCAGGCTGAGGCTGAACAGCATTGTTTGAAGCCACATCTTCGACTCCACTGCTGGACTCCAAGAACCCACACCAGGCTGTGCTGCCAGCAAACTTGCACTAAAGCAGCTTATGTGCGGAAAGATGGACTCGGAAGCCAGCACGGCCTTCTGACCCAAGCGGCCTGTGCCTTCCGTTTATTTCTCTCAAGAAGGCAGAGCCCTCGCTTGCCCTGACACTCCGCCACCACCTCTTGGTGCACAGGCTCAGGTCAGCGCGCACACATCCACCGTGGGGGGCTCATCCCGAGTGAAACCATCGCCAAAGCCCTCATCGTCCACCAGATCAGGCTTCTGGCAGCACATGGGGCAGAGGTGGTTGCGCACGGCAGAGGCTCGAAGCCAGACGACCAGGTTCCAGCGTTCACCAGTCCTCAGGGGCCGGGCGCCATGGAGCTGAGCACCCCGATGCAACACACCCTGGCCCACAACGTGCTCCACCTCCAGGGGTTGCGTCAGTCCTGTAGGTGCCTGCAGATAGTGGGGCTCAGGCCTGGGAACTCCTGGCAGCCCCAGGCCTTGCCCCACAAATCTCATACTCACCTGGAAGAGACCCCCAAAGTACAGGGCGCCCCCTGTGAAGGCCTTGCCCAGGGCCACGTTGAGGGTAAGCTCGGCATTATCGTAGTGGCAGCCCAGCTCCAGGTCCTGGCCAAGTGCATATTTGACCACGAAGGCACGGTGACTGTCCAGACAGCCCCCGCCATACTCTGGGAACAGCAGGGCCATCAGCGGCTGCAGGAAGCGCTCTCGAAGTGGCGTCACCAGTGGCTCGTCCAGACCTAGTTCACTCATCAGCATCTGGGAGGAGACGCCCAGGCCCAGTAGGGAGACTGCCAGGCCTCGCCTGCATCCCTGGATGCTGAAGTGCTCTGCATCGTCTGTGCACGTGCCTCACGGCAGATAGAGCACGAAGCTCCCTGTTGCCTTGAACACAAGCCAGCCAGCTGCTCCCACCCTCAAGCAGGTGGGCCAGGCCTCCCCACTCACCCCATAGTTGTTCATGGTGTTAGGCCTCCCCTTGGGCATGTCTGACTGCTCGAAGTGCTCCAGTTCCTCCAGCAGGGCCTGGCAGAAGGATGCTGTGAACACGGGCACTCGGTAGATGCGCTTCTCCTCTGTGGATGGATGGACGGACACATGGACAACAGGCTGGGAGCTCGTTGTGAAGAAGCTGGCATGGTTGAACTGCCCCAGGCTCATAGTTTGCTCATTTGTACAGCAGTGATAACTGAGGGCCTTCACTTCCTGAGACCACTGCCCTGCTCCTGGCCCTCCCAGCTCCTGCCAGTGGTTCAGTTTCTGAAGGCAGAGATGACTGGTGAAGGGACCCCTGTCTCCCATTCCCAGATGTCACAGACTGCTGCCCCCAAGTCCTGCCAAGCCAGGGGCCAATGCTCACCAGACACTGTCTCCAGCCGCTGAAGAAGGCCCTTGAGGTCTGCGCCTGGTGATGCGCTGTATTCACTTGCAGCCAGAAACTCAGGGGCCAGAGCTGCATCCTATGGCAGAACACACCTGAGTGCCAGCACCTCCTCCCAGGAGCCAGCCCCCAAGCTGGCAGCTGAGTACCTGCAGTGAGCTGTAGATCTCAGGCCGTGCTGGGTGGTAGGAGCTTGCAATGAGGGCTCTCCTGGCAGCTGACTTCTGCCCCAACTGCCTCCGACGCTCTACCTCCTGTTCAAGCTAGAGTGACACAGGGTTGGGTTACCAAGCAGGGCTGCTTGTCTCCAAAAGCCATTGTAAAGATGGAAAAGCTGAGGCCCAAGGCCAGAGAGGGACCCAGGGTGGAAGCCAACCCTGCCTACACTCTTGAACCTCTCCACGGTCAAGTACAGGCACTGAGCTGTTAGCTGGTAGGGACAGCGGGAAGGGATTCATCTCTCCTGCTCCAGCCTGGGCCAGGCATGTGGAGCAAGAGCTCCTGGCTCCCTCAATCAGCTGGGCCACTCAGGAGGAAGAGGGTCATGGTCAAGTCCTACCACTAGCCCCAGGTGGGGGGGCAGGGCAATGGCAGCAGCTCTGGCACCAGTCTACATTAGAGATGGGGGCAGGGAGAAACCCGTGGTGGGCAGCCTGGTGAGGCTACCTACTCCACCCGCTGGGACAGGCCTTAGCCAGGGACCGACGCCCCTTCTTGAGCCTCTGGGCCCCAAATGGGGTGATGGCCACACCTATCTCACAGGTGTTAAAAAGGGCGAAATGCAGGCTACTTCTTCCTGCTCTGGTGGCAGGGCCCGGGAATGAAGCTGGGGAGGAGGACTTGAGAAGTCGTGGGGGATCGGTGGGAGGCGGCTGGGAGCCCCCGGCCGGCCGGCCCGCCTGCGGGCGGGGGAGACGTCACCTCTTCCCGGAGCCGCTGGAAGTCCCGGGAGCTGACACAACCCCGGCTGCGCAGGATCTGGGAGCAGAAAGACGGCAGCGTGACTGCGCGAACGCCTCGGAACCTCGGTTTCTCCTCCTCGGACAGAGCTAAGGGGCGGGCGTCACGGGGCGTGGAGAGAAGGCGCGCACGCCCGCGCGCCGCGGCCACTCACCGCGCCGTAGTCCCGGCGCAGCTGCTGCTCGCTCCGGAAGCGCAGGTGCAGCCCGTAGCGCGCCACGTACAGGTTCTCGGAGCAGAAGCAGGCGCAGCGGCAGAAGCGGCGCGGGGCGCCCGGCGTCGCCATGGGGCGGCGCGGCGCGGCGGCGCTTCCGGGCACGCCCCCGCCGAGGGGGCGGGGCGCCCGGCGTCGCCAAGGGGCGGCGCGGCGGCGCTTCCGGGCACGCCCCCGCCGAGGGGGCGGGGCGCCCGCCGCCGGGGGCCGCGCCGAGCTCGCCGGCTGGGAAGCGCGGTGCGAGCGCGGGAGGGAGGCGCTCTGTGGCCAGGACGGGAGCCCGCGGGCTGTCTGCCCGCTCCGCCTCGGTTTCGCCGTGAGGCCCGACGCGGAGAGCTGGGACTCAGAACCACGGGCCTCGCTTGGACGCTGCTCCTCTTCCGCGAGGGGCCCTTAGACAACTAGGCGACCTCGCGTGGAAGCCGGGCCAGCTCCGAGGTCTGACCCCGATTCCTCTAGCTGCTGGGCGCCCCGGGTCTGTGCGTGCAGGTCCGGGTGTGGACATTTACTCCAGGTCCCTGCCTGGCGCTCCAGCTCCTCCCCCGGAACGTGTCCGAGCGTCGGGGCCCGAACGCGCCGCCCAGGGCACTTCCGGTGGTGAGGTGGGCGTGGTCTGCATTTGTGGGCGGGGCCGAGCGTCTGGACCTGGTTCAAGTCCGGCGCGGCTTGTGTGTCAAGTGTGTTAACGCGCCCCGGCCCCGGAGTTCCCACTGTGGTCCGCAGGCCCCACCCCACCCGCTCCGGTCTCCGGAGCTGCTGGAACTGATCCCGGCCCCGGCCCCGCCGTGGCGTTCCCCGCCGTGGCTGCGGATAATCGAGACCACCAGGAGTGCCTCCCGCCAACGCTCCTCACCTTTCCGGACCTGCGCTGGGGATCCTATCACAGGGAAACTGAGGCCCAGACGGGCGCAGTGACCTGCCCCAGGGTCCACATCCAGCGCGGTACCCTAGGGTACCTCAGCAGCCTGTCCTTCCCACGCCACAAGGGGTCACTGGTGGGAGGCTGGGACTTGGGGTGTTCTGTCCTTAGTGTGGCCTTGTTTCACCGACCCCGTCCTCTGTCAACCCCAACAGGTGTACACATTCGTGCACACACGTCCACACGTACCCCACGCATCATCCTCACCCACATTGTGCTGGGAGGCCATGACCACCGTTCGGAGAAAGCGGACCCGCTTCCCCAGCCCTGGCCTGCCAAGCCAGGAAGGTGATGAGAGCCTCGCGTGGTCTTGATTGCCCAGCGATAGGGAAGCACCTGCTGTCCAGAAAAGGATCTGGTTCCCCAGCTCAAGTGTCCTCACTCCCGGCTGCCCTGCCTCTCTGGAGGCTCAGGGAGGCTGGCTTCCCCGCCTGGCTGGCACCCTGCAGCCTGGCATATAGTACCCCTCTTTGCACTGTTTTGCAATATGAGCCGTCTATCATGGTTTTGGAGGGACAGGGCTTTGGAGGTGTTTGCTTTTTGTGTTGGTACTGGGGCTTGAACTCGGGCTAGACTGTCCTTCAGCTTCAGCTCTTTACCTCTAAGCTAGCACTCTACCACTTCAGTCACAACTCCACTTCTAGGGTGGTTAATTGGAGATTGTCTCATGAAACTTACCTGCCTGAGCTTCAAACTGTGATCTTCAGATCTCAGCCTCTAGGATTTTAGGTATGAGCTACTGGTGTCTGGTTTTTTAGGTTTAAGAGTTCCTTGTATGTTTTAGTTAACAGCCCTCTATTAGGGAATCTCCTACAGAGACTCCCTGTGTGAGGGGTTCTTCACTGTCTTTACATTATCTTTTGCAGGCCAGAAGTTTGTTTTGAGGAGGTCCAGCTTTCAGTTACTCTTTTATAAGATGATGCCTTTGGTCTTGTGTCTAAACAGTCATCACTAAGTCAGCCCGTCTAGGTTTTTTCCTATCATCTAGGAGTTTATACTTTGGCCTTGTTTTTTCAAGATTGGGACTCAGTATGTGATTCCACTGGCTTCATGCTCTCGGGCTCAAGACATCCTCCTGCTTAGCCTCCTAAATACCTGGACATGGCTCTAGTTTTACATTTCCATTTGGAGTTTGTTCTTTTCCTTTTGAATGCAGGGATTTGTATGTGCTAGCAGAAGCACTCTGCCACTGAGCTACACACCCAGTCCTTTTGAGTGAATTATTTATTAGCAGTTCTGCGATTTTGAACTTAGAGCCTCTGACAAAAGTTCTAAGTTTTTTGTTTGTTTTGTTTTGGTCGATAATGGGGCTTGAACTCCGGGCCTGGGTGCTGTCCCTGAGCTTTTGTGCTCAAGGCTAGTGCTCTACCATTTTGAGCCATAGTGCCACTTCCAGTTTTTTTTTGTTGTTGTTTTTGTTTTTGCTTTTGTTTTTGATAACTAATTGGAAATGAGAGTCTCACAGACTTTCCTGACCAGGCTGGCTTCAAACATGATCCTCAGATCTCAGCCTCCTCAGTAGCTAGGATTATAGGTGTGAGCCACCAGCAAAAGTTCTAAGTTTTACCTTCTATGACTTATTTCTTCTTGTTGGAGAAAGACACCTAATTTTTTTTCTTTTCTTTTGTCAGTCGTGGGGCTTGAACTCTGGTCCTGGGCACTGTCCCTCAGCTCTTCAGCTCAAGGCTAGGGCTCTACTACTTGAGCCACAGCACTACTTCTGGTTTTCTGATGGTTTATTAGAGATAAGTCTCATAGACTTTCCTGCTCCAGCTGGCTTTGAACTGCGATCCTCAGATCTCAGCCTCCTGAGCAGCTAGGATTACAGGCATGAGCCATAAGCTCCTGGCCTTTTTTTTAGCCTTGAGCACAAAAGCTCAGGAAATGCCCAGTCCCTGAGTTCAGACCCCACCACTGACAAAAAAAAAAAAGCTTTAATTGAGCTATTCCCCATATTAGTGATTACCCCATCACTCACTAAGAAATGACCCATAAGCAGTCACACATGGTAGTTCTTAGTCCAAACTTACCTGAAACATTTTTTTTTTTTTTTTTTTGTCGGTCGTGGGGCTTGAACTCTGGGCCTGGGCGCTGTCCCTCAGCTTTTCAGCTCAAGGCGAGCGCTCTACCACTTGAGCTACAGCGCCACTTCCAGTTTTCTGATGGCTTATTGGAGATAGGAGTCTCACAGTCTCTCTTGCCTGGGCTGGCTTTGAACCGCGATCCTCAGATCTCAGCCTCCTGAGTAGCTAGGATTACAGGCGTGAGCCACCAGCGCCCGCCCGGCGACCTGAAACATTTTCTGTGATTAGGCTGGGATGAGATCCTGCTACCCAGCGGGGAATGAATGGGGGGAGGGGATGTTGAAAGGGAAGATTAAGAAAAGCTGGCTGCAGGTGGCTCACGCCTGTCATCCTAGCTACTCAGGAGTCTGAGATCTGAGGATCACAGTTCAAAGCCAGTCTGGGCAGGTAAGTCTGTGACTCATATCTAATTAAACACACAAAAAAATGCCAGAAGTGGAGTTGTGGCTTAAGTGGTAGAGCACTAGCCTTGAGCATAAAAGCTCAGAGACAACACCCAGGCCCTGAGTTCAAGCCCCAGTAGTGGCATACCAAAAACCACAGCAAAACAAAACAAGTGGCTCAGTGGTAGAGTGGTTGCCTTGCATGCATGAGGCCCTGGCTTCGATTCCTCAGCACCACATAAGCAGAAAAACCCGGATGTGGCACTGTGGCTCAAGTGGTACAGCACTAGCCTTGAGCTGAAGAGCTGAGGGACAGCGCCCAGGCCCAGAGTTCAGGCCCCATGACTAAAAAAAAAAAAAAAAAAAAGAAGGGTTGTTTAAAAAAATAAAAGAAAGGGCTGGGAAGGTGGCTCAGTGGTAGAGCGCATGCCTTGCATGCCAGAGGCCCTGGGTTCGATTCCTCAGCACCACATAAGCAAAAAGAAAAAAGCCGGAAATGGCGCTGTGGCTCCAATGGTAGAGCACTAGCCTTGAGCTGAAGAGCTGAGGGACAGCGCCCAGGCCCAGAGTTCAGGCCCCATGACCGGACCCAAAAAATAATAATAATAAAATAAAATAAAAGAGTTCAATGAGGGATGGAGAGCTTACAAACGTGTTAACCAGACGGTGAGGTTTCTGTGGAGAAATGGCCTGAGTGACGCATTTGCTCCTCTCAGTTTCTCATTCTCACAGTTCTTGCTGGTATATTTGCAGTGCTATTAGATGCATAAAGGCTCAGAGGCAATTCATGTGTCCTAAAAATAATCCTTGTTCGCATTTCCTGTTGATCACGTGGGGGGGTGCTCCCAAGCCATGACCATTGATTGGGTCATTTTTCCTTGCCAGTACCCCAAAGCATTATTTATCTCTGGGGAGGACTTAGCTCCATCACCTACCCAAGGTCATACAGCAACATGGACAAACCCAGCTTGGAGCCACTCAGGCTTTTGGGATAATCTCTCTCCAAGTACAACTGTCAGCTGGCACACACTTTTGTCCAGACAGTTGGATCACTCATTCAACTTCACTCCCTAGATGGAGTAAGTCATTTCCTACCTGTACATGACTTCCCACCCTATAGATGCACTTTATGCCTGCTCCAGAACATTCTGCTGGCAGTTGCTCACTAATTACTCCTCAGGTCCCCTGTGGAAGGATATGTAGATTCTATTTAGGTTTTCTTACTCTGTTTGCAAGCTAGTATGTCAGCTCCCTGCTCCCTGTCACATATCTGTCTAGAAAAAAAAATCCCTACTGGGTCAAAAACTAAAATGTTTCCAAGTCTGAACTTCACTAAATTCCCCTCTACTGGAGGCTGTCCCGTGGGAGCAGCGGGGACTGTTTTAAGTTCAGGAGCACAGGAGGTCCCTGCCAGAGCATGCAGGAACGTGGGAAGTGCCTTTCCCACCGTCCACCCCTCTGGGCCCAGTGTTTCTCCAGCTCAGGACACATTGACCTCAGAGCCTTTGAACTTGCAGTTCCCTTAGCCTTGCGTGCTCTCCTCCGGATCCCTGAGGCTCCAAGAGTCATAGTTGTCCCAGGCCATTTTCCACGGGCTGTCTGGGGTTTGTTTTCTTTACAGAACTTAATATGAGCCAGGCACACCAGAATCTCACACATATGATCCAACCTACTCAGGATACTGACATCTGAGGATCGTGTTCAAAGCC